CAGTTCTCTCCCCAGTACAAATCCAAATTCAACTTCAAGCAGCAGGAGGACCACACAGCAGTCTGGATTTCCGTCTTCGATCTTCAGAACCACATAGATCTCAAGCATGTTGACTCGGCTTTGATCCTAAATCAGTTCATATCATTCAAAAACTGAAATGACGAAGAAGAAAAACACAAATCCATACAACTGCAACAAGCCACGTCTTTTGAAGCTCTCGCTTTCTTCACAATAAGATCAACAGCACTTATTGTATCATTAAATAATGTGAAGGCTTTTCCTCCTGTCGATTCGTAAGTCTCTTTTTTTTTTGTTGGTTATCAACTGTTTCGACCAGATCTGAAAGAGCAACGCTGTGTTCAGTATGTCATATGAATCAGTCAGAATCTGAACATACATATTCATTGGTTTTTGGAAGGTTCCGCCGCATGTTTCTGTAAAGCACGTCTTCTTTTGCAACATTCCTTCGTTTACAACAAGATAGGAGAGATCTGAGTGACTAGCGGTAGTTCTCGACTTAACAACTTGTTGGCCATCAGCCAGACATTCGAAAATTTTAGTTTGATCCGTGTTATTGTAGGCATGACACTGGACTCTGCATCCAGTATCTGGAGTTCAAATCTCGGCGGAACCTTGCAAATTTGCAAAATACTGACCACCGACGGCGTTGAAAAATTCCATGCTCTGATAGACAGTCCGTAATCGTAGATGATAAACTAAGCATCGGATTATGTCCAAATGGTTGGTAGTGACACTCGACTCTGAATCCAGTAACCTGAGTTCAAATCTCGGTGGTACCTAATACTAAAAAATGTTTTAACTTTTGCTCCTCTGTATGCGATGTGGTGCTGATATATCCTGCATAATTCACTTGTTGATTGTTCTCAACCACGCGTGCACTAACTGTGAGCTTGTGGACTTGCAAAGGTTTCGCGCCAAGGTATGATGTTCGTGCTAAGCTTTCTATGGAATCCTCACCTCTCGTTGAGGCAGTGCTCAAGGTGGCCACGGACATTCCCCACTGCAAGCCATCTCTACCCCTGGATCATCTGGCTAAGCTACTGGACATCCTCCACAAGCAAAGGCTCTACTACAAGCTCGCTCCATCGTCCAGGTCAGTCCATTCCAGTAAGTTGGATTCCATTTGACATCATCGCTCCTCCCAGATTGCCGGGCTCTCGCCGGGTCGGCCGGCTTCAAGACTTGGAGCTCGGGCAGTCGCACATGTTTGATCCGCGGCTCCAGAGCAAGAGGCTCAACGTAGTGGGCGTTTCCTGGGAGAAGGGGTTCAACCAGGTGATCGAGCTGTCGGCCGAGATCCTGTCCACCGTGAAGTTCATCCCGGCTTACTTTGAGGAGATATAGGCAAGTACGTGTTTGGCATCGACGACATGCAAGGCGCTGGAGATGAGAAGCTCATCGTGTGGGAGGCCCTGGAGGTGACGCGCAAGCACTTCGTGAGCGGCGAGATCAGCATCAAGCACCTCGATGAAAAGTCATTACTTCAAAAGGATTGCTTTTACTGTGGAATAAAACATATATGTAGAGGAGTTACACAAGGAGTGCAATCTAATTTCAAGCTTCCTGGTTCTAATAAGTCAGGCTTGACCAGACTAACGAGTAGATCTCTGCGATCCAATTCACTAAGTACGATTTCGCCATCGGTTCTACTCTTGAAACGCAGCTGATACACAACCGCCTGCACATCTAGAGATTGATTTTGTGCTAAAGAGAAATCCCCAATAACCACCTGATCCAGCAACCTTGCTAATATGGCTTTAACGACCTTTGCCGCCTATGTCTGATTAGGTTAGGTCAGGGCAAACAGTTGCAATTAGGTCATGGGGAAGAAATGCCGTGTTGTGCTTCCGTATCGATCCGTATCGATGGTTTTACCGTGGTTGCCGCGCTATCTGGCGGAGCTTCCGGATATCACGGTCTGTCTGTTGGGATGGTGCCAGCATCGAGACCATCTCCCACTCGGTAGGAGATTTGACCGATGCAAAGCCAGTTTCTGTGTTTGACGCAGTCAAATTTGCAGTGGATGAGTACTACAACGACATGGTGACAAGGATTGAGCTTTCTGGTAAGACGAGGAAACTGCACGTGCTGCTATGACTGATTCTGAAAATCAATTGAACTTGTGGGATAATTAAAGGATTCTCTACTTTCATGATCCAAGGGAGAATTGTGCATGTGGGGAGAATGGTGGGCAGAGTACGTAATTGGCGATCCCCACCAAGGGGTTCCCCGTGATTGTGTATTCACTGGTTTTGGTGGGCCGAGGTGTGCGGAATCCTTCACAGGATGGAGATACTCCCAGGTAGTGGCGGCCGCAGCCCAATCGATCAAATCAAGCTTCTCTCTCCGGTTCTGTGGGGCAGCAATCAGCATTTCCGTCCTGACAGACAGGAGAGTCAGCAACTAGGAGAAGCTTGCAGCTGAGCTCCAGCTGGAGGAGATAGCTGGTGTGGATCTCAGCTGGAGTTTGAGTCTCCATAACTCAAGAGGTGCTCAGTCCCAATGGGAGACATGTTGTGTGGTGGCTATGGCTGTGTTAGTGTGTCTGTTGTTCCTCAGACGTGCTCCTGTGTTTGTGGCTTTTGCCAAAGCTGCTGGGGGAGCATCATGGCCGAAAACGCTGGGGACTGCTAAATGCAGTGTCTGTTCTATGAGTTTTAGGGGGGATGCGTACAGCTATGGAGTGATCCTGCGGGATATCTTGAGTGGCACTGGGGTCAAGGATGTGGAGGGAGGCAACCTGATCTGGGTCAAGTTTGGCCAAGGAGCTGAGGTGTTGGAATGGACATCTCCAACGGGCCTTACATATGTTAGGCACCAACTTTGACCATGTGGTCAACGCAAGTCAAAGGGAGGCTCAAGAGTATATTAAGGCATATTAAGGTAAGGGACTTAACTTATCCTAGGGTTTATAATGGAGTTTTTGAGGTAGTTTGGGGGTGGTTGGGTGGTGAAAAGAAAGTATAATGTAGTCTAGGAAGATTAGATTTTTGTCTTTTTGCACTGGATTATAACATTAATATTAGAGCTTAATTTGATTCTCTTGGGCTGACAAGTGGGGCAAAAATATTCTAAAGATATATTTAACACAGTGGATCTAGAGGTTTGGTAGACCCTAAAAGAAGGTGACTGGAAGGTGGAACCAAGAGGATTGTTAGGCACCAGGTCAAAATAATAGAATAAAGAAAGGGCCTTGAAATCAAGTGATCACTCCTTTAATCAACTGGCTTAGGGTGTAAGGGATAGAATCCTAACAACATGTGATCATGCCGGATTAGCTGCCAATGCCGTTGTGGCAAACCATGGTGTTGGTTGTGGATGAGCTCTGGGGGCAGGGCAAGGAGATCAATCACCCCTGGAAAGTGGAGATTCTCGGCCAGGTATTGCAAGTGGCGAGCCTTTGCATCCAGCCAGGAGGCCCAACATGCTCCAAGTTGCTAGGAGACATTGAAGAGGAAGGTCACTAACCTCTTGGCTGGAATAAAGGACAGTGGTTAAAAGTTTTTAAAGCTTTTTTCTTTTGTATGTCATTAAGATATTTGTTGTACTTCTCCACAAAAGCTGCAGCAAGTAGATTAATGTTTGAACTGTTTTCTCGATTTGATTTGATACTCATAAGTCAAGTTGATGCTTGAGCTTTGCGTGGTTTATACATCATGCGTTATTTGCTATATCTTGTGATGTTTTCACTTTGTTGCTTTGATAGTTTTATTTTCTAGTATCTATCAAGGGACAGAAAAATATGAGGTGCTTAACATTACAACATAGTTAGTTTTGATTGAATACTTACTGAAACCAGCACGATTCCTTCTAGATGACTGACTTGATGTGCAAGAGATTCAGCTGCTTCTCCAGGAAAAGCTCAAGCTTGATCAGGTATGCAAGTCCATTTCCTTGCTCCAAGTTGCTAATTGTCGTCTCGTTTCCAGGAGATCAAACACCTAAACAACAGCCAGGAGCTTCCAGTCAAATGCCAATCAAAAGAAATGTGTGCACTTTTTTTGTCCTTCTAATGAGTATTTATATATTATAGAAAAAACTCAGAATTCACTACATGCATATAGTATATAAAACTAGAAACTCATATTAATATGAGTTTTTTCAACTATATATTCATCTGCCACAAAAGTGTTATACTCTGAAGCTCCTTCAAGTATAGCTTACTAATTCAGGAGAACCAAGTTTGAGAACAGCCCCAAACCAAAAGAGACACTTTTTGGTAAAACTGCATGAGTTCTTCACCAGGCTTCACACTTCTTCCAACTTGTGACTTATTGTGTCATAAAAGCTAGATAAAGAATATTAGAATCTGAAGCAATGATGATAAGAATAAGGTTTTTTTTAAAAGGTGGTTTTTCTAGAAAGTCCTCTTGCTATATATAATTTTAATGCATTGGCCACAAATAAAAATAAGAAAGGAGCCAATGGACATCTTTGTCTTACTGATTGTTGTAACTTAATTGTGTTGCCAACAGCCCCATTTATTGTGACTTTGCTTGATGCATTTAACTGTACATCTTATGAATTTATCTGGAATACCAATTTTTTTCATTGTATTTTGTAAAAACTATCTTATGCCTTCTCATAATCTAGCAGAATTAGTGCCATCTGCAATCCACAATCTTTAGTTAATATGTTGTCTACTTTTTTAGGATAAGTGCAATAATCTTGTCAAATGCTCTTCACAGCCATTTTCTTATATGCATCACCTCGTTCCAAGTGCTTAAAACTTCCAGCCCTATCCATTCCCAGTTGCTTTATAAAATGTTTATAGCATTCCATCTTCCCTAGGCATTTGGTCATCATTCAAATCCTTTACTACTAGGGGAAGTACTTAACTCAGCCAAAGACATATTTTCTCATCGAGCTTAATGGAAGTTATAAAACACCTACCAGAAAGTTTACGTTAAGTAGTATTGACGAAGAGAAAGCAGCAATACTTTGAGGCCAATGTTAAAAAGTAGAAAGGCAACGCCAGATTCAGCAATAGCTTTGGTTCTGTGTACATTTCGGATTAGATGGAGCGAGTGCGGACCAATTAGCACCCCAGCGGCCAAATACCCTAGGACAGGACTTCCTGTAAGACTTACCAGTAAAAACACATCCGAGAGAGTCAGGGAGCAGTTGATTTTCTTGTCATTGTAAAACGCACTACCTCCAGGAACCTTTTGAAAAACGGGAACAAAGACCACGCTTGCCAAGAGCAGCCACAAAACATCAAAGAGAGAGGCCTCCTCTTCATTGACCTGCACATCATGCAATACAAAAATTAAAGACCACGCATGCACCTCGACGCATACCTCTTGCTTTGACCTTGATCCCCCGAGAAGAGTGAAGACGGCGAAAACTCTTCTGCTTCATCGAACGAAAAGAAAGACATCGACTGGAACCTCCGGTAGTTCTGCCACAATAGTGTCCTTGATCTCCACTTGTACGAGCTCCTCTACTATGGGCTCTGCTTCGATGGTGGAATCTAGCATCTGATCATTTTTCTCGACGGTGGTGGTCGTTGTGGCCGTGGTAGTAACGGTGGTGTTTCAGCCTTTTGTAGAGCAATCCCTGATCATTGCGATGCTATGCTGCCTCGAGTTCCACCGCCACGGATTGCAGCGACATCGCCTTCACCTTGGCAGGCCGCGAGCACTGGAAGGATGCAAGTGGGGGATGCAAGTGTTGGGCAGCCGAGGCTAGACCTTGGGTGCCCAGCTCCACACCCACGCAGGTGGCCTGCATCCAGAGTGTCTACATCCCGCCTCGCACAAGGACAAGGACAACTACCTCCTGGGATCCATCTTCAGCGCCCGACATATCTAGGGCCTGATATGTCCGGGGCCTGACATGTCCAGGGCCTGAGGTATGCCACATGGCATAGAAGTGTAGAAGAATCGAGTCCAACGGCTTTGGAAGAGATCAAGCTCAGCTTGGAGCTCCTTCGTCGGACTTTGGGAGCTCCAACCGCGCAAACTCGAGAAGAGCTCACGATTCGGCCTCTCGAGCGTGAAGTTTTTCGAAGGCAGTACTGGCACTCAGCAGTCGATAGCCTCATCGCCCAGAGCAATGGCTCGCTCGTCGCCTTTGAGCTTGCATACCTCAAAGAGGTAGACGTCCTTGTCCACCACTCCCTGTTGCTGCTCCTATCCTCGTCCACCTCCGCTCCTAAACCTCCTCTAAGCTATCTTTTCATAATCGTAAGAAGGGATCGAACCGTGGAACTTGAAACAATGCTTGGCATGATGAATTCATAGAATTCCTAATCGCATTCCTTTAATCAGAGCTCGACGGTACGTACGCTCACAGGTACTTTTGGTACCAACGATGAGTTGAACTCCTTCCCGACGTCAATTGCAGCCAGTGACGTATAAAATCCAAGTCGTGTGATCCTAAAGCTCCTGTTATCGTGTCCAAGGTTGGTATCCTCGTAGCCAGCCTCAGCAAAGTGGCGAGGTCATGCCAGAAGGCACTGAGAAATACCTTACGTCTACCCCAGGTTAACTTCCGAAGAAGTGATGTTCCCGATGAAACTTTTCAAGAATCTAGAGCATCTCCTTTTAAGTTGGCTTGATCAATGTACATACATTTTTGTCACTGCCAAGCACAGCCTTCAAATGCGGATGTTTCCATAGAATGCATGTGGTTGCACCAGTGCTGGATTGCTGTGTATGGAGGCTCCGACTTGAATCTAGCTTCCTGGGTGCGCCACAGCATCCGACACTGCGCAGGCACATCAAAGAGCAACGGATGTGCCTTGATACGACCAGGAAAAGCTTGCGAGAGCTCCTCAAAAGCGGCAGGAACTTGCGGCCGAAAGTCAGGAGGCTCATCCCTGTAAACGAAGCCTCTCAAATCGAGCAGCCTCACGCAATCGCTGCTCCGCATGAGTTCCCACAGAAAATCTATGTCGTCGCTCTCCCAGATGCCGCCACTCTCGTTCCTGAATGCTGCCTCGATGAACACCATCAAGGGCGATTGTCTGCTGCTCCACTCGTCCAGGCTCAGCGCCTGCAAAGAAAAAGCGAATCAGTGACAGTGAGTTAAACACGAATCAACTTACCTTGATGCTTGTACGAGCAATTCTCAAGACTTCAAGTCCATGGAAGAGCTCTAGAAAGGCTGCGAGCTTAAAGGAGCGAGGCTGGAAGTCGTGATCCCCCACAAGCAAGCTCAACTCCTTGACGCCACCCAAGCTTGGCACCAATGGCAACACACGCTCCAGCACATTGGCGGGGCTCCGGAAGGAGTTGCTGAGCGTGATCGACTTTAACTTGTTCAATGAGTGACACAGTCCCTGGTGGCGAACACGTCCATGCAACTGCACCCACTCGATGTTGCATGTCGAAGGCCGCAGCTCCACGCACGGCCCTGAGCTGACAGTGAGCCACCGGAGCTTGGGCATGTCAATGGCAATGGTGGCAGCGCCGCCACAGCGACTTCGAATCTCCAAACAGTCGAGGCTGCTGCTCTTGAGAAGCTCTACGTGTGATTCCTCCGGCACTGCCATACTCCCCAGGCAGAAGAAGATGAGCGAGGGACACTGCTCGAGGAGCTGCTGGACGGCACAGACATCCACGACTGTGACGAAGATGACGCAGTAGAGCAGGTTGCGGAGAGCCATAGTTGGCGGCAACGCGGTGCCAACGTTGGCGTATATGTGGAGGCAGCGCAGCTCGTGACACTCCGAGACGCTGGACCAAAAGTCTTCAAACTTTTGCTTTGGTGGGCGGCGGAGGCGTAGCGAGTGGAGCGTTTTCCCGAGCACCTGTAGCCAGCGAGTGGAGCTCGCATTCTTGCGGTAGCAGGGGAAGCGTGCGATGTCCAGGTAGCGGAGATTGTTGCCATGATCTGGATGGAACCAGCGGATGAGTCCTTCCTCGGTGGAAGGGCTTGACGAATCCAGGCGGAAGTGAGTGACCCGCGTCGCCAAATCCTTCCACTTCTTGCTTACCAGGCCACAGCAATGCAGGTGACGCGAGGAGAGGAGTCGCGACATGATCCGCACCAGCAACTCATCCGGGAGATCGTCCAAGCACCTCCGCCGCTCCTTGATGCTGCTAGCCATCGAGTAAAGAAACCCTAGCCCGAATCCAATGTGTCACAAATGTGGCAGCCAGCTGTAGATTATATGCTTGCCACGTCGTTAGTGAGCTGGCATCCAAAACATCAAAAAGTATTTTTCACAATTTCATGCTTTTAATCACTGTCTTCTTCACCCCCCATAATTCATCCATGGCAAGGTTGTGAACCATCCTGTGATGTACTTCCATTAGATTTCTTGTTCTTTCGTTTTTCTTTGCCCACGAGATTTCTTGTTTAATCACTGTCTTCTTCAGCGGCACCCGCATTAGCTCCGCCCCCATAGTTCATCCATGGGAAGACGGACTCCACGAAAACAGCAAACGCGTTCCGGTCTACCAAAGGAACGTCCAAAGGAACCTCCACATTTGGTCCTCCTCCTGCAGCCCCCGCTTCTTCATCCGGAGGCAGCGTGGGTGTTCTATCAGAGAACTCTGATACTGAAAGATGCTGATACCTGAAAACAAGTAAAGATCGTCAGTCAGCAAAACAAGTTATAAAGCTGGTGACATACTCGTTGTGGTCAGCTTGGAATGCTTCCGCTCGAGCACAAGCCCAGGTCGCAGACTCTCCACCCCTCGCTTCACACACGGCCACTGCAGCGTCTTTCAGCCAGGCCTGGAGTTCCGGGACTCTCCAGATGAGATAATTCCTCTCGATGTAGATGTTGATCAAGTGCTCCAGGCTCGGCCCCCCGGAAGTCGCCCTTGCAAAGTGCCGGTGCTTGAGCACTTTGCTCCACGCTGCATCCTCCTTAATCGGAGCTCGCGCGACGATCTTGCTCAGCACCGAAGGATGAAGCATCAGAGCCTGCTGCAGGAGATCCGAGGACGGGACTGTTTCACTGGTTGCATTTGGAGCTGCCTCTTCCTTCTGCTCCAGATAGTAGCGCGCAACTGCCAGCGAGAAGGAAAAGTTTGGAAGGAGAGCCACCGACTGGTCGTCGTAGAAACTCTCCACGAAAGCCTCCAGCCACGAGTACTGCCCCGCTCTCAAAGCGTAGTAGTCGATGCAGAACCTGGCACCAGTTGGATCGTCTAGATCGAGTGACAGCAGCACCTTGCAAAACTCCATGGCTGTTCGGTGGCAGCCTCGCCTTCCCAGGTGCTGCATGTAGCTGAAGAGAGCCGAGAAGAGTGGCCGGTTCTCCTTGCACGAGTAGTCGAGCCGGGACTTTCCAGCCAGCGGATCAAACAAGGGACTCCACGCGCATTCCAGTGCGTAGAGGCACCTCTCCAGCAAGGTGGCCGCTTGCTGGTGCTCGCCAATGTGTTTGTAAACGTCGGCCAAGGCGAGCAGCGAGTCCGCATGGTAAGGATGAGCCAGGAGCAGCGACGCAATCTTGTTGGGATCGTGGGAGGAGACGCATGCCTCGAATGCCTTCTGGACTTCCAAGTAGTCTGCCGAGTACACGTACCTGGAAAGCAAGAAACAGCGTCACGTAAAGAGAATCCATAGCTCGTTCTAGCGTAGTACCTGAAAGTCATGACACCGTCCTTGGCATGAACAAGCTCCATCGACACACCTCCGTCCCATCTCGGCCAATTCCCCATCGGCACAACCAAGCATTTCCTGCCGCTACGCGGAGCCGAGAGTCTTCCCTGCCGCTGGCGAGCACTCTTTTCCACCGAGTGGATCGCCTTGGAGCCGAAGATGAGCCTGAGTTCTTCTTTGGGCCGTAAGTCCTTGGCATCCACCGAGATGACGGCCGCTCGTCTATCCATCTCCTGCTGCTGGACTGAAACATTCTCCAAGAGCTTGGACAAGATCTCATCGCTCCCCTCTTCCTTGTCAGTCTCTAGTTTACTCGATGCGTCATTCTTCTTGCTCTTGTTCTTCTTCTTCTTCTTCGTCTTGTTCTTGCTCTTGTTCTTCTCTCCTAGATTGGCATCTGGCTTGGAGATCGCAGGCGCTTCTTCTGCTTCTTCCTGTTGTTCCACCTCTTCTTCCTCCTCGTTCTCACCGTCCTATAGTTCCTCTGTGAATTCTAAAACCTAGGAGCAAGGAAGAGAGAAACCATACCTGAGCTGCGAGAAGGCTGAAAATGCTCGGCCCAGCTGATTCCTTGGTGGTGCCGGCGGTAGCGGCGTCATCTTGCTCCTCGTCTTCGTCGATTTGGCTCTCCCGCTCGCGCAGCGCCCGCCTCAGCATCCGGGCCGACATGGCTGCCTAGCTCCACTTGCCCTAAATTCATTTGACCGCAATGGAGCAATGCTGGAATACATTGCCGGGCTTCTCCGGCAGTATGGCGACGCGCGGAATGCCGCCGGTGCCGCGCGGCTCCACGCCCAGATCCTGCGTAGCAGCCAGCGGCACAATGTCTACCTCGCCAACACTCTCATGCACAGCTATGGCCGCTGCGGCTGCGTGGATGAGGCCCGCCGCGTGTTTGACGCCATCCCCCAGCGCAATCCCTTCTCCTGGAACATCCTCGCCACCGCCTACATTCACAATGGATTCCTGCAAGAGGCAAAGGGAGTCCTGGACAGGATGCCGCAGCCCAGCGCGGTGTCGTGGAATCTTATGCTGGCGGCATACAGCAGAGAGGGGCTCACCGCCGAGGCCAGAGCTATGTTTGATTCCATGCCCGAGCTCAATTCCATAGCCTGGAATTCCATCCTTTCAGGCTATGCCCACACTGGGCATTGTGTGACTGAAGTTCTAACTGTGTTCCAACGTATGCCTGGCCACGACGTGATCAGCTGGAATACCCTTCTTCTTGCGATCTCCGAGACAGGTGACGCCGGCGGTACTAAGCGCGTCTTTGACGGCATGGCACAGCGCACTCTAGTATCTTGGACTTGCGCCATGCAAGCAAATGCGAGGACCGGGAATGTGGCGGCAGCGAGGGACGTGTTTGACAAGATGCCGCTGCGTGACGTGGTGGCGTGGACAGCCATGCTCCAAGCCTATGCCCAGGATTTGGATAGTCTTGAGGCCTTGTTCCGCGTCATGCCACAGCGTGACGCAGCGTCATGGTCCCTCGTGATCAGTGCCTATGGTGAAGGTGGCGACGCATGGAAGGCCAAGCACACCTTTGATGCCATGCCTGGCAGCTCCAGGAATCTAAGCTGCTGGAACGCTCTGTGCCACGCCTATCTCTACAATGGCCAGCTCGCTGAGGCTGGCGGTGTGCTCCACCGGATGAGCAAGCGCGACGTGGTGGCGTGGAATGGCATGCTGTCGTGCTGCGTGCAGCGCGGCGAGGTGGAGACCGCCGAGGCGCTGCTGAGGGACACGCTGCCGGAGAGAAGCCCGGTGAGCTGGAGCACTGTGGTGTGTGGGTATGCACAGAGCCGTGACGCGCGGCACGGCGCGGATGCCAGCCGCGTCATGGGCTCCATGCCGGCGTGGACGCTTGTGTGCTGCAACGTGATGATCTCCTCTCTAGCACAACGAGGAAAGCTAGATGATGCTCGAGAAATCTTCCACAGGCTTCCAGCGAGTGAGAGAGACGTAGTGTCATGGACTGCCCTCTTCCATGCTTGTGCTCTCAACAATTGCCTTGACGAGGCCGCACTCGTCTTCTTCCGCGACATGCCCGACAAGAACCACGTCTCGTGGAATGCCATGGCGGCAGCGTATGCCCGAGCAGGGCATACCGCCGAAGCCAAAGCCGTGCTCGAGCAAATGCCGTGCCACGACGTTGTAGCTCTTACTCTCATCTTTCACCTCGCCGTCCAGAGCGGCCGCTTGGAACACGCTCGGAGCTTGTTCGACAACGTTGTGCCGGAGAAGGATCTGGTGGCTTGGAATGCAATGATCGGGGCGTATGCCCAGAACGGGCAAGGTGACGAGGCACTGCTGCTCTACCGCGAAATGCACATCCAAGGCATGGATCCAGACGACGTGACAATGTCGAGCATTCTGGCAGCACACAGCCGACTCGGCCAAGTCGAGCAAGGGAGAAGCCACTTCGTTGCCATGCCGATGGATCACGGGATCACGCCATCGGAGGAGCACTACGCGTGCATGGTGGACGCACTGGGACGTTCCGGGCAGCTGGTAGCGGCAGAGGAACTCCTCGCCACCTTTCCGTTCCATCCCAGCTACGTTGCATGGGGGAGCTTTCTTGCGGGTTGCCGGATCAATCAGGACGTCGCGCGTGGGGAACGAGCTGCACAGATCGCTGCGGTATTGGATCCCAGCAAGTGTGCACCTTATGTGCTCCTTTCACAATCGCCGAGAGAGCTGTGAAGCTCAAGAGAAAATGCTCCTGGTAAGCTCCACTCGCTTCCCTTGCTACTGTAAGAATGCGAAATTCACTCGCTGGCTACAGGTGCTCGGGAAAACGCTCCATGCGCGGCCCACCAAAGCAAAAGTTTGAAGGCTTTTGGTCAGCCTCTCGGAGTGTCACGGGTTGTGCTGCCTCCACATCTACGCCTGGCACCCTGTGAGCTATGGCTCTCCACAACCTCCTCTACTGCGTTATCTTCATCACAGTCTTGGACGTCTCTGCCGTCCAGCAGCTCCTCGAGGAGTGTCCCTTGCTCATCTTCTTCTGCGAGGGAGCATGGTGGTGTGGGAGGAATCACACGTAAAGCTTCTCAAGGGCCGCAACCTCGACTGGTTGGAGATTCACGGTCGTTGTGGCCATCGCCATCCATCGATATGCCCAATCTTTAGTGGCTCATTGTCAGCCTGCGGCTGTGCGTGGAGCTGTGGCCTTTTATGTGCAATGTCGGGTAATTGCGGTTGCAGGTAATAATGATTTTTTTTCTTTGCAGGCACTAAACGTGAATGAGTGGAGTGTTCATCTAGGAGTGTTCCTGCTGCATTTGAGGAGCTCTTGCAAAGTTTTCCTGGTTGCAACAAAGTACACAGGGGATGCTATGGTCCATCCTGGAAGCTAGCTAGAGTTAAGTTTGAGGCTCCAGACACAGCAATCCAGCACTGGTGCAAACTCATGCCTCCGCGTCAAAAGATGCACTTGGCAGTGACCAAAAATGTAAGTACACGTTTCGCATTGTTCAGAACAGCATAAGATTCTTAGGAACATTACAGCTCAATTGTTCACTCATCACCCATCCCTTCCAACCATGACGTATAGGAAAGGGTGAAAGCGTTAAAACTGGGTTGAGAAAGACGTTGAAGTGATCATGCTGTTGCGTTGTTGCTATCCAGGAGATTAAAGATAAGGATGCCAGCTGCTTATAGTACAAATTAACATCTAGATTCCATCTTAGCTGACTGTAGCACAAACAGACACTACAGTCCTGTCGTGCGTGTTTCACGTTGCCCATAGGTACTACAAAAGGATACCACACCATAAAAGGATGACTCGTTCATCTGTGTGTAGGGAAAATGGCGACTCCGGTATCTGCAACCGCAACTTTGCCTCGCCACATGACAATCAAGGGTGAGAATGGGAGGTATTTGGCACTCAAATCGGATGGGCTCCTCACATTTGATGCTGACCAGAGGAGTTTCCTCACATGCCACGAGGTGATATACAATTTCGACGACTCCGAAGGCACCTTCTCTGTACGTGCTTCAAACGGCAGATTTTGGAGTCGTGATGCTAGTAACTGGATTCGAGCGAATGGTAGCACGGAGCCACCCGCTACGACCGACAAGAGGACCCGCTTCAAGCTCGTGAGGTTTGAATCAGGTCGGCTGGGATTCCTGTCTGCACTTGATGATCGATACCTCAAGCGCTACGACGCCAGCATCCGTGGGTACAACGCCCTGCAATCTCAGCCTGACCCTTTCACTCAAGTTGAGGTGAGCGATGGTTCCGAGCATGCAATTCACCTCCCACGTTTCATCACGTTCAAGGGAGACAATGACCAGTTTCTGCTTGTACGCAAGGAATGGAACAACGAAAACTGGTGGCTCCAGTTCAGTGGTCAGGAAAACGATTTGTCCAGGGATGAGGCCATCAACAGGGTAGTTCAGATGGTGGATGGCAGTTTGGCATTCTACAACATTCACAGACAAGCTTATTGGCGCAACAGGGCTCTTGACAACAATTCCTGGGTATGGGCAGAATTCCAAGGAGCCGTGGAAGGAGATTCGAGATGCCATTTCTGGCCCATAAGGCTGAGCACCCAAATGTTGGCCCTCACGAGCAAATCCAACAACAGGATATGCAAGAGGCTGACCAACTATTGGACTAACTGCTTGTCCGCTAGTGCAAATGGCACAAACGATGTAACAACGCGTCTTATCATCAGCGAAGCTACGCTCTCACGATCGATTTTCAACGTCAAGTACCTTCTCGAGTTGGCTAGCACCATGGATCAGAGGTTACTCATGGTTGGCGAGGGCTCGGTGATCAATAGGCGGGACGAGCCGGCAGACATGACTGTGACTGTAACTGTGTTCCAGAATCTTTCCACGCAGAGGACATTCTCAAACTCGTACACCATCACCCAGAAGATTTCCACCGAGTTCACAGCCGGCATCCCGGGGATCGCTGCAAATCAGACTACTATCGAGATCGGCGCTGAGCAAAGCTTTACTACGGAGTGGGGTGAAACAGCACAGGAAGGCGTGCAATTCCAGACAGAGTACGTTGTCCGTAATGTCCAGCCTCAAATGACGGTACGTTTCAAGTTTAAATTGGCTCGTTATACTAATGGATTATCTTAATGTAGGCCAAAGCCACCGTGTTCGCGAGCACTGCAAGGATGCGTGTCCCCTTCACTTATACAAGCAGGGAGAGGGGTGCCAACGGGATTGATCGACCATCTGAGAACCATATTGATGGGGTCTTTGATGGTGTGTCGGCATTCAACATCCATGCAATTTTAAGTGACGGTGAATCGGAAAGAGACGTTCCTTTGAGTTTGGCCAATGGCTTTTATCGCAAGGAAGATTAAGAGCGTCTCATGCTTCTTGGGGGGGATATGTGAATGAATGAATAAAAGTAAATAAGAGATTAAATGCTACTTTATTAAATCACCAAAAGCTTTTAGGACAGTAGGACATCGCGAAGGAGTTTTTCTGATCAGAGCTACCAAAAGTATCGAAAGAATCCGTAAGCTCCATGCGGGGTGCTAGGTAGAACATCAATCACCATAGTTAACTGGTTGGTTTTAAGGAATCTTAATCTTTCGGATGATTTTTCGGAGAGCGACGACATAGATTTTCTGTGGGAGCTTACATGAGGAGCAGCGCTACCGCAAGTTCCTTCAAGGTACATCTTTTGGTGTTTGATCTGGCTACACAGTGCGGCTGTGGTGCACCGGAAGGAAATGTAAGTTCACTTTGATTTTGATCAAAACACGGAAGTCAACTTAAGAGGAAATGCTATCTCAGTCAGCATTCAAGATCCTTGGGAACATCACAGCCCAAAGTTGCCTTGATGTCGTCCTTGCTTACTCGGACGCGTTCGAGCGCTCCCACGGGCTTGTTGACGTTTGCCATTGCTTGTGCGATCTTCTCACCGCTTGGAAGCAAATCTGGGTTTGAGAAGTGGTAGACTTTGCTGGGATCAAGGTTTGAACACAGATCTCTCATCGCATTCTGGATGTAGAGCACCCGCTTCATGACCTCGCCACGGCCTGGGCTTCCCTGAGGCTAGCTGAGAAGATAGCACAGAGCCAGGAACCAACCTTGGACATGATTGATCTGTGAAAAGATTGAAAGCTGTAAGAACTTTTAGGATCACAAAACCTCGATTTTATACCTGAGTGGAAAGCTCGCTGGAATTGTCCTCCAAGAACTCCTTGTATGTCATGATGCTGCCATACAAAGAGATGAAAGACACCACATTAGTGGAGAACGCGTTCCTGACTTCCCTCAGAAGCTTGGACGTCGCGAAGTAGTTCTTCACATCAGTTCTCTCGTGAGCTTGGAAGTGGTACCAAAAGTATCGAAAGAATAAGCAAGCTCCATACGTGCGTACGTACCGCCTCTGGAGCTCGGTGCCGCTCCTAAGTGTAACAATCACTCAAGTCAATCGAACATCTTGGATGGTTCTCACCTCCGGTAGTGAAGGAAGTCGTGAGTTACCAAGTTTTCCAAGAAATCCTTAAGCTCCGAAGCAGCCAATCAGCAGTGGGATGACAGACACTGCTTGATCTTCTACGTTGTCTCTATAGCTCACGAGAAGCGCTCCCAGGAATGCTACAGCCAGGCCAGGGACGGCCAACAACACCCATGCCTGATCCATCCAATGGATTAGGGTTTCTATAATCCAATGTGTTAAAAGGAGGTTTAGGGCTTCCTGGAGCGAGCGAGCGATCGGCCTGATGCTTCTCTCCTGCGACCTGGTAGCGTCGCCCCGCCAGGTACAATTGGCATTGGATTGGAGAATCGCAGCTCCATGTCGTGGCTGGAGAAGGAAGAGCATCACTAGCGTCAGTAGTAGCAGTAGACGAAGGAGGGGCCGCCTTGGAGCCCTTCTAGTGGGTCAGCTAGCGCTCATCCATCGCCGTCGTCTCAATCCTCGCCAGCATTCATCGCTCGATTGCTCCAGCAACGGCAACCAATCCGCGCTGCTACGCAGCGACCAAGACAATGGCGGCGCTGTTGGAGGCGATGGAGGCGATGGCTTGTCCGCGGCTTTTGGCGGAGATGGCGACGTTGGTGGCCGGGATGGCGACGATGGCGGAGGTGGACGAGGACAGCAGCAGCAGCAGCAGGGAGTGGTGGACAAGGACGTGCAGCTTGCGTACCTCAAAGAGGTGGCGAGAATCGCTCATTCGGAGCTGGAGCGCGCGAGGTTGCACAGCAGGGAGCTCGAAGGCGAAGCACAGAGATTTGCCGAGCGAGCCATTGCGCTGGGCGATGAGGCTACCAACATCTCCACTGCAGCTGCCAATGCCAGAACCGCCATCGACAAACTCCACGCTCAAGAGGCCGCGGCCAGAGAAGCCGTGGAGAAAGAAAGCGTGGTGCTATCGGCTGCCAAGAGGAACATCAAGATGGTGGAGCAAGAGCTGGATGCCGCGAGAACGAGAGCCGAGGAAACGGCTGAAGGTCCGTCCGAGCAAGTGAAGGAACAGCAAGCTCTTCTGGAGTCTGCGTGGTTGGAGCTCCAAAAGTCCGAGGAAGCGTTTCGAAACTGCCAGCTCGAGGTGTCTCGAATGGAGAACGCTTATCCGGAGCTCCAGACCGAGCTTGATCGCCTAGAGAAACTTGCCGACGCAGCCAAAGCCGTGGCACTCGCTGCCGAGGACGATGTTGCCAAGGCGATGTCGCTGGCGGAGCAAGCCGTGGCGGTGGAACTCGAGGCAGCACAGCGTCTCAACGATGCAGAGATTGCTCTACAAAAGGCTGAAACACCTCCTGCCGCCACTGTTACTACCACGGCCGCTACCACGACCTCGACCACCACCACCACCACCACTGCCACCGTCGAGAAAAATGGCTTGATTGCTGATCAGATGGTAGAGTCCACCACCGAAACAGAGCGTATAGTGGAGGAGCTCGTTAAAGTGGAGATCAAGGACAAAGAGCCGTTTATTCCCGTTAAATCCAAGACGAATATGGAGAAGTCCGAGGCAGAACTACCAGGGGTTCCAGTCGGGCTTTTCTCACAGAAATCAGACACGAAAGCAGCCGAGGTCGGGAATCTCAAGTCTTTTACCAAGAAATCTTCTCGGTTTTTTCCAGCGTCCTTCTTTTCGTCCGACGAAGCGGAAGAGTTCTCGCCGTCCTCACTCTTCTCAGGGTTATTGCTATCGGTCAGACAAAATATTCTTAAAGTTGCCATTGGTGGAGTACTTCTCCTTGGTGGGTACGTACTTTGATTACCATTCAATTGTTTTCTAGCTTTTTAACACGTTTTTCTTTGCCAGAGCGGTTTTTGTCGCTGGCAGAGCAGAAAAAGCTAGCCAGCTTATTCATTCTTCTGAGGCTTATGTCGCCACAAGTGCTAAACCTCTCTTGCAAAAACTAGACAAGTTACCCTCCAGGATCAAGGTCGTGATTGACAAATTGTCAAAGCAAGAGGTATGGGTCGAAGTGCATGCGTGGTCTTTAATGTTTGTATTGCATGATGTGCAGGTCAACGAAGAGGAGGCCTCTCTCTTTGATGTTTTGTGGCTGCTCTTGGCCAGCGTGGTCTTTGTTCCCGTTTTTCAAAAGATTCCTGGAGGTAGAACATGCGTTTTACAATGACAAGAAAATCAACTGCTCCTGACTCTCTCGGATGTCTTCTTACTGTTAAGTGTTACAGGAAGTCCTGTCCTCGGGTATTTGGCCGCTGGGGTGCTAATTGGTCCGCACTCGCTCCATATAATCCGAAACGTACACGGAACCAAAGCTATTGCTGAATTTGGCGTCGTCTTTCTACTTTTTAACATTGGCCTCGAGGTATTGCTGCATTTTCTTCCTCAATACCACTTAACGTGTACTTTTTGGTCGTTGTTTTATAGCTTTCAGTGGAAAGACTAAGCTCGATGAGAAAATATGTCTTTGGCTTTGGATCGAGTCAGGTGCGTCATTCCCCACTTGTCTTTTCTTATTCTAACTTTTTACTACAGGTCTTGGCTACGGCACTAGCGTCTGGCTTGTTTGCGTACTACGTCTCAGGACTTACACTTCCTGCTGCTATTGTAATCGGCAATGGATTGGCGCTCTCGTCCACGGCCGTCGTCCTGCAGGTACGTGAAGGATATTTCTTCTAAGCGATAGAGTAATCTTTGTCTTTTTCAGGTGCTCCAAGAGCGTGGTGAAAGCACATCTCGTCATGGCCGTTCGGCATTTTCAGTTTTACTCTTTCAGGTGAGGTCAAAGTTTTCTTCTATTCGATTAACTTAACTTCCAATCGGTTTCAGGATCTGGCAGTCGTAGTTCTTCTCATTCTGATACCTCTCCTGTCACCAAATTCGTCAAGAGGCGGGGTAAGTCGTGAATCCGACTTGGTGCCTGTCTTATGTTGATGCGATCTAGGCTGGACTCAACGCGATTGCCGAAGCTCTTGGAATAGCGGCTGTGAAAGGAGTGATTGCCATCAGTGGGATAATTGCGGGTGGTAGACTGGTTAGTACTTTTGCTAAAATACGTAAAATCGAGGGACGAACTTAATCTGTGCTAATTGCAGCTTCTTCGTCCTATATACCGGAGTATGGCTGAAAATCACAATGCCGAAATATTTGCGGCAAACACTCTGCTCGTTGTTCTTGGAACTAGCGTTCTCACTGCCAGGGTACCTGAAAACTTCCGTTTTGGTTAGCTGAGTAATTTGCTTTGTGCAGGCCGGGCTTTCTATGGCCCTTGGCGCGTTTCTTGCTGGACTCCTTTTGTCAGAAACCGAGTTCGCTCTGCAAGTTGAATCCGATATTGCACCATATCGGGGTCTTCTTCTGGGACTTTTCTTTATGACAGTAAGTGGTTTCCTCTAAAAACAATATCTTCCGAGCTCATTATCTGGCGTAACACCTGCAGGTTGGGATGTCTATAGATCCGCAGCTGTTTTTAGCCAAGTCCAACATCATCCTGGGGTCATTGGCTTTGCTGATTGTTGGCAAAGCCATGTTGATAGCTTGTCTGGGTCGTCAGTTTGGTCTTTCTAGTGTAGCAGCACTTCGTACTGGTCTTTTACTTGCTCCTGGCGGGGAGTTTGCTTTTGTTGCCTTCGGCGAAGCAGTGAACCAGGTACGCAGCTTCAAGTTATCAGCTTTAACTTGGCTTTGCAAATGCCGTGCAGGGAATCATGAGCCAACAGCTATCTTCCCTCATGTTCCTGATTGTTGGCTTGTCCATGGCATTAACTCCTTGGCTTGCTGCGGCCGGACAAATAATCTCAACAAAGTTCGACCAGCAGGACGTCCGAAGCCTGCTACCTGCAGAGAACGAGGTATTTCTCATGTTTAACTCGAAAGAGCCCAATACACGTACGTCCGCATGCAGACGGATGATCTAGAAGGCCACATGATAGTTTGTGGATTTGGTCGAGTCGGCCAGGTGCGTTTCGCTGTGAACCTTCACAGAATCACTAGAACGTTTGTCGCATTGTGCAGATCATCTCGCAAATGCTGTCGGAGCGACTGATTCCCTTCGTTGCGCTTGATGTCCGAAGGTTGGTGCTTGTTTTCTAAGAGCCGGTTTTTAAATCGTCGTGTGCAGTGAGCGTGTAAGCATGGGCCGAGCTCTCGATCTCCCTGTTTACTTTGGAGACGCCGGAAGTAAAGAGGTTTGTTTTGTTTCCAGCACTCTGCTGTTTGTTCTTTCCACAAAGCGTTGCTTTTCAGGTGCTACACAAGCTCGGTGCCGACAGGGCAGCTGCTGCGGTGATCACTCTCGACACCCCCGGAGCAAACTACAGGGCTGTGTGGGCTCTGAGCAAATATTTTCCCAAAGTCAAGACTTATGTGCGTGCTCACGACGTCGATCACGGCATCAACCTGGAGAAAGCAGGAGCAACCGCTGTAAGTCGCTTTGGCCCTTCTACGCAAAAAGTCACCTTGGGTTTTGGTTGGCATTACAGGTTGTTCCCGAGACGTTGGAACCGAGCCTGCAGTTGGCGGCAGCAGTACTTGCCGAGGTAATCAGCCTACACTTGATGTTGTCTCATGTTTTTTTGCATTGTTGTATATATCTAGGCAAAACTTCCCGCATCTGAAATAGCCTCCACTATAAACGAGTTTCGATCAAGACATCTTGCAGAGCTGACAGAGGTACCATTTCCAGTGCGTATTCTTTTTCACTTCTTGTCTTTCTGTGCGCGTGCAGCTTACCAAGAAAAGTGGTACATCTCTTGGCTATGGCTTCTCCCAAAACGTTGGAGCGAAACCAAAGCAAAGCAGTGCAGGCAAGAGTGAAGACGATGGCTCCCCAGACCGTAGGTTCGAAGGTGTCATCGCAGTTCCTTGAGTTGGTTGTTAATACGTAATTGATGGAAAGCGATGGCCTCCGATATTTCTCTTGAGCTTTAGAAAGCGTTTGTTCGCGGGGACAAATCAATCGTCACTGGGGCCGTTGTTGGAGAAAATTCGCAGTTTAAACCCAGAGCGAATTCGAGGCGCGATCAAACACCATGACTTCATAACGCGTAGGCGAAGATGGCGATGGCGGTGCAAAAGCGACAACAAGCAGTCGACAAAGACGTGCAACTCACTTTCCTTCCTTTTTTATGTCAGATGAACAACATTTTTATCTTCCCTTTGGTGGAGCGTCAATTAGAGGAGAGATCATCACATCTCGGACCTTGTCAAAGCTCGCCTCATGGTGATCAAAGTCCGGCGAAGTCGTGTCAAAATTGGCTCGAGATCGTGGATCGAGACACGAGTAGTCGCTGGTCGCTGTTGAATTGGACATTTATAATCGAAGTGAAACAAGTCATGCTCGTCCTTTCGCAACACCCTCCTGGAAAGAAGAAGTATACTACGTGGTATACTGTTGACAAGTAGGTCATCCATCGTGATCCATCAATCTGTAAACCTGGAAAGCTTGGGCCATGGAATCGACACCGACGTTTGTCTCTGGTAACTCCTGTAAGCTGCCGCTCTCGACTCTTTCGCCAGCATTCTCCTCTCGACCATGACCGTGACGCAGGCGAGGCAAGCACTGTTGATCAGGGCCCCCAGCATCGTCCAAGAGAAGCCCAGCCTCGAGCCAAACATCGCCAGCCCCCACCACCATAGCTGCTCGCCGAAGTAGTTTGGATGCCGGGAGTAGTGCCACAGACCCTCGTCCAGAACCGCGACTGGCTGCGCCCCGCGCTCTCTCCGGAGCTTGTTGTTGCTCACGAAGCTGTGGAGCTGGGTGTCGGCAATGCAGGCGATGGAAATCCCCGCAACGCAGAGCATGGCGATGGTGGTGTCGATAAGGTGGTGCCATGGAAGCTGGCTTTGGAAGACGGCATAGACGGGAAGGCAAACGCCCACCAGCAAAAGCTTCGCAGAGAAAGGTGGCGTCAGAAAGAACAGCGCTAAAGGAGTTACAGTACCTGTTGCGAGACGTAGACTGCAAAGAAGGAAATCCACCACCAGTGACGGCCGAATCGCTCGCGCATTTGCGCAAACCTCCAATCCTCCCGAGCTCCCAGCTTCCAATCCTCCCGCCGGAAGTACGAGTGCGTGATCCTGGCGCTCCACACCCAGACGAGCGCGGTGACTACTCGCGATCTCACCGGGTCGGACTTGGCGGAGGGATGCGCCGCCAGGAAATGCGTGATCAAGACCGGCAGGAAAGCCCAGTATGGGTCGATGAGCTAGATCCAAACAAGACAAGGAGAATGAGAGTGGATCGAACGGATGAACGGTGGCTAACTTACCCAAGTGCTCCCTTGGACGAGGCTAATGATCCAAAACACCACATTGACATTGATAAAGAAGAAAGCATTGAGAAGTAGCAAAGGATGGGCTGCCGCGCTCCACACACACAGTGACTTCCTTGCCACTGGTGGCGATGGCGATGGCAGCGGCGGTGGGCATCCATAGAGAATCCAGGCGTACGCGACGATGGTGGGAAGTAGGACGAGTGACGCCACGCCCGAATTTCCCCCCATAGCTAGGGTAAAAGGCTCGACTTTAAAAACCATGGACAAGCTCTTGCCATTATCCCAGCGCCAGTACAGTTTAAAACGTTTCAACCAGCGAGTTTGAGGCCATCCCTTCCTTTCTCCTCAATTCTCTTTCTCCCCGTGAGCTTTGACTTCTCGTGAGTATCAAAGAGCGAGTGGAATCACTGCAAGTTTGCTCACCTCAATGGCATCTTCTTCTTCTTCTTCTTCTTCTTCTTCCTCTTGGAGTAGTCCAGGAGCCATGGCAGCAGCAGCAGCGATCCTGGCACTGGCAATGAGCTTCCTGGCACTAAATCTTCCTGGAGTAACCGCTGCCTCGAGCAAGGTCCCGCGGCGCCTCCAGTTCTTCATGCAAGACCGGCAGCTCATCGCCAACAACACTGGCGTGGAGGTGGCGGCGGAGGGCGGCAATCTCACGCGCTACGCCTTTGGGACCGTCTTCGTCATCGACGATCCCATCACCGAGACCACTTCCAACACTTCCAAGGTTGTGGGAAGAGGGCAGGGGATGTACTTGGTGGAGTCGCGATCCAATTTCCACTTGCTCGTCTCCTTCTCGGCGTATCTGGAGAACCCACAATACAATGGGACGATCGTCTTCCACGGCTCGTACAAGGCGCTCGAGCCCACCAGGGAGCTCCCAATCATCGCCGGCACTGGGGATTTCCGGGGGATCACGGGCTATGCGATCGTCAGCACGCCCGTGGATCTGGGATTGTACGTCGTGCTTAGCTTCGATTGCTTCATCTCCTTCCTCCGCTACGAATAACGGCATCCTCTTTGGATCATCATCCTCAAATATTCTATAAACTTGTTTGGATTGGAGAGATTGGAATATGCTTCGTCTCCAAGTAGTTTCGCGTGTTTGTGTGTGTGCGCTTTTTGGAATTTAGGGCTCTTGCGCTCTTGCGCTGTTGGAGGGCGATGGACAGCTCCGGCGGGATGATCCCGTGGAGGCCGCCGGGGCCGGATTACGACCCCAGCCCCAAGGTGCGGCGCGAGGAGATGGTTGTGAAGCGCTTCGCCGAGGAGAAGAAGCGCCAGGTATGGGTGATCGCCGGTGTCCAGGGCATTGCCTGAGAGAAATGTGGTACTCCAGGAGAAAGCGCGGGATGCGTATCATAGGATGAAGCTCGCGACTGCCCTTGAGATGAGAGAGCGGCAGCACAAGATCATTTATGATGTGAGAAGAAGATCTTCTTTGCACGCTTCTCCAGCTCGACTTCTCCTGTGATTTCATTCCAGGAGTTCCAAAAGAAGCTGGAAAAGGGCCGGTTACAAAAGACATATAACTTCGCTGTCTATGCTCACTTAAAGGCAGGTCGTTCGAGTTTCTTTTGTCGTTCACGAGTTTATGCTTGTTGTATCTAGGATGCCTGGAAAAATGCGGAGCAGCTCGATCTTGCATCCTTCATTGTGGTGGATCAAAGGGTCTGTAAGTTCTTTCCAAATCAACTTACAGAACGAAAGATTTTACAAAGGTTTTATTAAGTTCCGCTCTGGAGTTGTGATTTCTGAGCATCCCCGGTCTTTTGGCAATTTCAGGATATAACAAAGCGAATGTATGGCAAAGAAGGTGTAAGCGAAAGCACGAGAGATGACATACAAGCCTTTGAAAGTAAGGGATACGAACTTGGAGCGGAACCCAAGCTGGAAGCTGTTGATCCAAAAGCCAAAAAGCCGCCTCCGTCAAAAGGGAAAAAGGAGGGACCTCCTGCTGTTTTTGATCCTGCTGTTATTGCCCAGGTAAGCTTTACCTACATGTCGGCTCCCATTTTATTGTTTTTAAACAGCAAGGGAAAGCTTACCTTGAAGATGTCAAAGCTCGGAAGGGTAGGGAGGATGCTGACAGATTTCAACATCGTCAAAACATACGAAAGGTAGAACGTCATGTTTTTGTGCTGATGCTCTTAGTCATTCTGTTTCTTGTAGGAAGAACTGGAAAAACTGGAGAGGGAAAAAGAGGCAGAAGAAGCTAGGAAGAAAGAGGAGGAAGAACAGACTGTCCAAAAAAGACTGGAAGAAGAACTTCGGCAAGCTGAAATTCTTCGAATGCAAGAAGCTGAGCTAGAGAGCATGCATGCCTATCGAAGAAACTTCGAGTTGCAAATAGCCGAGCAGAGGCAACGGGAATGGGACGCTGTTCTTGCTCGTGACAGGGAGTTGCTCATAATGATGCGGCAAGACTGCTTTGATGAAGTCGAACACGAGCATCAACTTGTGGAGGTGCTTGAGTGACTACATTGGCTTTAAGCTTAATGGTTTTCTGATGCAGGCAGAAAAGAAAAGGAAAGCCGAAAACAGGAAAACGAGGCATAGGGAGATGTGCCGGGAAGTCATTCTTCAAGTAAGCGACTAGTAACAAGTAATGCTCTTGTTAACATGATCGCTATGTTCTCAGATTACAAGTCTGGCTGAGAGCCGGGCTTGCTATCGGGAAAGCACTAATAGTGACCTTCCTATGCTGGAATGGCGCGAGTGGCAAACGCTGTTTGTGAAGGGGGCTATTATGCCGAGTCCATTATGCAGCGATATAATTTCTACCGAGTCACAAACGGAAGAGGAGAATCGCATCGCTGACGAGGTAAATAGCGAGAGGCCGGATAACAATTCTTATACCATGCTTGTTCACAGGCTGCTGCAATGGAATACTTCCAAGAACAAGGTGAATGGAATGGAGTTCAGCCGATTGGCAAGAACAAAGAGCTTGGGATTATCTTGCATATTATTCACACAATGGCGGATGTTCCACCAAAACCGCTGCCCATACCACACTTCTCCGAATGGACGCTGAAGCTGGCAACCGTTGGAATTCCATATTCAGGTTCATGTTTAGTAACAGTTCGTGTTTTATTCATCACTTATCACTTACCACAGGGAGGTCGACTATTGCGACAAAAATCGCCACCGAATTTGGTATCAAAACAATTGAAATGGATAAAATTCTGGCTGCTGCCATAGCAGAAGCCGAAGCAGGTATATTTATATATCTATGTTGTTACTGTCAGTGTTCACGCTTTAGTTTGTAGAAGAAGCAAACCAACCAGTAAACGCGGAACCAGCTCCAGAGACACCAGCTCCAGATACTCCAGCGCCGGTTAACGAAGTTGAACCTTTGACAGTTCCAGCGGAAGGTGCCCCAAGCCCTGTTGAAACTGTAGAGGTGCAGCCAACACCACCCCCGCCACCAACTAAGGCGCAACTGGGAAAAGCTGCCAAACAGTGCAAGCAACAGGGACAACAGGTATGTTCTAAAGCTAAAGTTTGTTTTACACAACAGCTTGTTTTAATCAGGTACCAGACGAAGTGATGGTGACCTTGCTTGTCATGACCATAAGCAATCTTCACGCAACTGGTATTTACTACGTTGGAAGCTTGAAATAACAACAGCTCTATTTCTCAGAGGATGAAAAAGCTCCACCCAAGAAACCTCTTCCCAAGGACAAGAAGGGCGGGAAAGGTGCCGAGCCTGAAATAAACGTCACAGGGTTCATTCTAGATGGATTTCCAAACACTGCTGGGCAAGCGGCGGCACTTGAAAAGGCTTTGACAGGACTTGACTTTGAGTTTACAGCTCGACACGAGGCGGAGGCATCTGTATTGGCACCTCCGCCTCCTATTGTAAGTGCTGTGTTAAAATGGTCTCTGCTCTAACTGAAAAAATTCCAACAGATAAAGGTAGACAAGTTTGTTTCAGGCCTCGATGGTATCTTTCTAATGGAATGTCCAAACGAAGAAAGAGCTTTGAACAAAGCGTTAGGAAAGCGTGTCGATAGCAAGACTGGCTTGTTCTATCACCTTGATTACGATCCACCTCCGCCAACTGATAAGACGTACGTATTGAAAAGTAATTTCTTGACGCCAGTATAACTTTTGTCTACTACAGTGGTATTGCTTCGCGCCTGCAACCTGTCGAAGAACCGGATTTAGCCCGTATTAGAATTGTGGAAGGGTTGCAGCTCTGGCCGGCTCTAACGTCGTGGATGAGCAAGTTCTTAAACGCCTTCTGGGTTGGTATGGAGGAGGATGGCAAGGTGAAACCAGAGGATGCGAGCAACGTAGTAAAGGACTTCGTTGCTGCAAAAGTTCAGGCCGACGCCGCGGCTGCAGCCGCTAAAGCTGCAAGAGAAGCCGAGGAGGCTACGAATCTCGCATTGGGAGAAGCCGAGAAGGCCAAAGTCGGGTGTGATATTGCTAGCAAACAGCTGTACTTCGCCAAAGTTGGCGAGATCGAAGCGGCAGCAGTGCTTGAATCATTTCCCGCTGATCCTTTGGCTAAAGAGACTCTACGGGTGAAAGCAAGTACAATGGCTGGCCAGAAACTCAACGAGGCAGTAAAAGCTTTAAAGGAGATCCAAAACCCTCTGGAAGTTACTCAAAAGGCAGCTGCTCAGGCTCAAGAAGCAGCAACGAGAGCACAGGAAGCAGTCGGTGGGGCAGATGCTTGTTTTCAAGCAAAAGCCGATGCAGAAGCGGCAGCAGAAGCCGCAAAACAAGCCGCTTCGCGGGCCAGTGTTGCATCTCAAAAGGCTGGTTTTGCTTTTGAGGCTGCGTCGTCTGACTTTGCCAAAGTGGAAAAACCAGAAGCAGCAGCTGCAAAGGGTAAACAACAGGAAGAAGCACAGGTAAGGCTAGACTTTTTTATTTGTCGATGTTGTATCTTACGTTTACTATGTCTGCAGGATGTTTCTTCAGGCGAAACAGCAGCAGCTGCTGAACCTGCTCCCGAATATCCAGAAATTGATCTAAGCACCGCAGGTTTTTGTTCGATTGTTCTCTTTGCCGTTTCTTATGTCTGTATTTGTGCTTTGCAGTTACCTTCCATTCAAGCTGGAAGCAAATAGAGTCCCTCTACTTCTCATGCCTTAAAAACCTCTTTCATAGCCTTAGAGTGGAACGTGTCAATGGACGTAATATCCTGCAGGAGGTATGTTTAGATGCGCACCACGGCTGTTCTTTTACAGGTTACTGAAATTTGTGCAGATCAAAATGAATTTTGGAGTGTTCTTGAAGAGGCCAGATAATAAACAAAAGACCTTCGATGATTTTCAGGTGACGCCCTTCACATGGCTGCATCCCAGTCAAAAGTAGCTTCACTTCTACTTCAGGCGAAGTATAACCGGATTGAAATCGACCAACGTCGTCAACCGAAGATGAAGCAGACTCTGAAGAAGACGGTGGACGACCTTGCAAAGCAACTTCGTACTATTTGTGACCAGAGGCTGAAGGTAAGCCTATAAATTTGAACTTGTGGTGTTTGGAAACACCAGTTTACAGGAAGCTCAAGAAAACTGCAAAAAAGTACTCGCTGATTGGATTGGGCAAAGAACGTCGTCGTGTATCTCTCTCTTCACCAATTTGATTCAAACAGAAGTGAGTTTTTGTCTAGCTTCTCGTTCTAGCTTTTCGTACTTTTTCCTGGTAGATTGACAGGCATCTGCAAACTTGTGCGTTTCTCCATGAAGTTTACTTCAGAAAGCCGAGCTCGGCTGTCATGGAAACTTTTAATCCTGTGAGCAACCTGGTAGAAACCGCGCAGGTTCCTCCAAAGACTTTTCCTGTCCCCGGATGGATTCCGGGAGTCACTGCTTCTTCTCCTCAGATTTCTCAGGTATGTATTTTGCGTCGGGTTGCCTGCATTCTCTATAACTTCTCCCGGCTGTAGATTGTTACAAAAGCTCTCTTTTTAATCGATGGAATAATAAAGGCAGCGACTGATCCTGAACTGGACAATCGGGCGAAGGCTGGAGGGAAGTCGAAGCCGCCTCCGGCAAAATCAAAACCCGGAGAAGGAGATGGTCAATCACCTGGTCCATCGGCTATGTTGCGGGAACATGAAATTATTCAATCTCGGCTTCAGTTGCTTGGTATCACTGTCTTTTGGAACTTCCTTGCTGCTTGTCTGATATGATGAATTAAACTTTATTCTGTTTGATGGTTGGCAGTGCAGCAAGCAAGGCTTGCACATATATGGGGGAGTTGCAACCACTGGTTAATGGTTCATCGGCACGCATGGAAAAGTGGATGAACAATTGCAACAAGGTGTGCCTATATTTTATTGTTCTGACTGATACCTGAAGGGATCTAATGTAATGCAGGTTGAATCTGAGATTGTTACGGAAGTCATTGAGCTTTCTAACGAGGCTGTTGAGGAAGCAATTCCTCTGTGGTATCAAATGAACTTAGATGGTGGAGAGCTTGTGATTAATGAGGAACATATGATGGTGGTAAGTTTCCTTAGGCTTATCATGCCATTCTAGACTTACTAAATCCTATCTAAATTGTCATTGAAGGATCCTCCTCCACAATTGGCGGTGCAACCGGTGATTGACGTAAACAAATGGCACTTCAAGCTTCTTCGTAATCTTGTGGAAATTCTACGGACCATGTCGCTTGCAGGTACGTGCTGGAAAAATGTAATTTCGATCTCTTACCGTGCTTCATGCTTCCAGGTTACATAGAAACGGAAAAAGCTACATCAACTTTACTACAGGCGGTCCAAACCGCACATGCACAGGGAAAAGAAGACGTTGAGTTTGCTCAAGTTCCACACCTTCCAGCAACCAAGGGGAGACCATTTGGACCATTCCAGATCTGGCTGGACTACACGAACAATGTTATGAAGAAGGTTTTCCACAGACCAGGATTTTCCCGCTCAACCATCTCAACGTGACGTCCTGCAGGTTCCTCCGGCGAAAACTGAGGCCGAGACTGTACAGATATTAGACTGGAGAGCGTTGATAATGACGCTAGCGGATATACACTTCAATGATTGCATTTCTGCATCGAGTGTCGAGAATGTCAAGCAAGTCTGCAGCCGTGAGTGCCTTTTGTTATCCTCAGTAACGTACTCTAACGAGCTCTTGCTGCAGTGCTTGAAGAAACAAGCAAAGATACAGATGGTTTACTAAGCCTGGAGAGCTTTGTCAGCGTCCCATTCTGGTTTGATCAAGGTACTACACTGGTGATATACACCACAGAAACCGGATCACCGTGTGCCATTTTGCAGCTGTTAATCAAGGAGCTGCTGACATTGGGACTGAGCTCAAGACGCTTGCCTATCAAATGCTTGTGCTCCCTCCGCTTGAGCCAGAAGCAGTAGAGGCGCCTCCAGAAGCTCCGGAGCCGGCAGCAAAAGCCCCTGAACCCACACCTACACCTGCAGCTGCCACGCCTCCCATTCCATGGCAGAGGCTGGCACTCTACTTCTGCAGGGACGAAGACAAGGAAAAGGCACTCTCGAAGGTGTTTCAAGTGCTTTTGGGCACGGGGTAAGAGGCTGGCCGTGTATGCTCTCTTGATTAACTCCGCAAATCCTCGCTGCAGGTCGGATGTTCTAGAGCTGAGACCCGAACAATTGCTGCAAGCGATCTACCACTTAAGCTTGGATGAAGCCTCGACATCCGGGTGCCTTGCCTGGGCTCCTCAAGACATCAGAGTGAGTGCCTTACGTAGTATCTACGACCATTTACCTTGCTTTCTTGTCTCAGGAACTCATACTGAAAATCAAGAGCGAGTTGGCACCTCAGGCCGTGGACGAAGGCGATGACGTTGATTCGGACGGAAGCCAGGGGAGCGGGAGGCTGTGCACAAGAAGCACGGTAGCGCAGCGAGGCTCTAACCTCAGCGAACAGACGAACATCACAGTGCGAGACTTTGGCGTGCCGGAAAACGCCTCCCTCACCGAGGTTCTCACCGAGGCATCGTCCATCAAGGGGGCAAGGGACGAGACGTGCTCGGAGCTGAGCGACCAGGCAGTGGAAACCATCCAGCAGTTCCTGGATGCGTTGAGCGCCACTCCGCGAGAGGAAGCGGCCGCAGGAACGAGCCCAGCGATCCTGCCGCCGGGAGAAGTGGTGGAGCGCCAAGTTTCGGTCAAGGAGATCTTGAGCGCGCAGTGCGCTGCAAACCTGTGCTCGATCTTACTGGAGAACTACTGCAGCAAGCAAATCCATGTCATGAACGTGAAGAAGGCGGACGAGAGCGAGAGCGAGGGCAGCAGGCCCAAGGAAGAATTCGCCCCCTTGGCGCCATAATTTGAATTCAAACCCAAGCTCAGATATTAGGGTTCTTTTGAGTAAATTCAAATAGCATGAGCAGCGGCGAATCATGAGACATATACGTTTCTCGGATGGAGATAAAGGGCTGGACTCTGTTCTCCTCTCATGGATTCAAAAACAGGCGAGATCTGCCTGCTAGCAACACAATCGAACGGCATGTGCTGATGTCAAGAAGATAAAGGCGAAGTACAACAAAGATCTAGGTGGAATAGTTGAAAAAGTATCGAATTCCACCTCCAAGTAGTTTTTATGTACAACACAGACGGGAAAGTGAATGGTGTGCGACAAATGATTTTGAAGTGTGGCGACAGGAATTTCACTGTGAAAGGCTCAGGAGGCAAGAGTCTGGCATCACCCACTATTTCAGAAATACAGCTGAGTGTTTGATTTCCTCATTTAACTGGTCGAGTGCTTGTCTTGACTTGGGTTTCGAGAGAGCCTCAATGCCAAGCTTTGCATATGTTGCTGGTTAAAGGCCTGATGCGTTGCCTGCATTTCATCGACATGCATGGTGTTGAGGCTCAACAATTCGAACATACAGGAGACGACAGTTTCCTTCATCAGCAGCCACGTTGTCGCTCTGTGCTCCACGTTGTGCTCTGGCCATCCATATGGATCCAGCGTCCCTACCATCTGATTCATCTACAGGTGCCAGGCTCTACATGGGGCCGACACACAGCTGTTAACATGCCTGCTTCCACACTCCTGGACCTAGAATGGCAGCTAGTGTCCCGCAGATGAAATTCCCGTCCCTGCAGATCCTGCTTCATTGTCCATGACTGTGCACACAAGTGAACACAAGCCAATGCCCCTAAGGTCTGTTCGACAGTGGAGAGTGGCAAAGAGTGAGAGATGATGTCCAACCCACACATCTAATATTTATTTCAATTATACCAACGCAGTTTCTAAAAAGAAGTATGAAATAGGGTTACCTTAAACCAACACTTTTTTACACTGTCCAATATCATAATCATTATATCAAACATTTGCTTTAAGATAATCTTACCATAAAAAATTCTTCCAAACCTTATACTATGCTTCTCCGTCCATACTAAGATATATACCAGTCATACTAAACTCTCAACAAGGCACTTTATATTGAACCTTATGATTAAGAACTTAATAATCACAAGCTATCCCTACAAATAAATCCAAGTTTATGACCCTAACCTTGGTCTTATATCAAAAACCATTAGAATCTATCAATATCTTGGCATAGACAATAGACCTCAATTTTTCTTAAGACTTTAAGTGACTTATTAAAGTAATGTATTGCTTGGAATTATGAAGATTTAAATTTTAAAGGCATTTCCCCGAATATATATATATATATATATATATATATATATATATATATATATATATATAAGAATAACTAAAAAATTCAAAACGTTCCTATAAGATGAAGCCTACTTATGCTGCATAAGTTTTACATGTTGGATTTGAATTTATCCTATTAGTGGTGCTTATTGTACCTAAGAAAATAGGAAAATTATATTTATGTGTAGATTTCAAGTGTTTAAATGAAGTAATTAAGTGTGAAGCATTTCCCTTACCATTTTCTGAAGACTTACTTAATAGTGTAGCTGGTCACAAGATGTATTCTTTCCTTGACACTTCTTGAAATATAATCAAATCCTTGTCAAACCAGCTGATCAACACATAATTGCATTTTATCACACCATAGGGAGCATTTGTTTATATAATTATGCCTTTTGGCATGAAAAATTTTCCATTCAAAAATCAATAGAAATATTTTATGATTACTTACTTGACATATAAAGGTTTTTATGGATGCTTGTAGAGTATATAGTGGTAATAACAAACATTTACAATGCCTTGAAAAATCTTTCATATGTTGTAGAGAATTTGGCTTAAGCTTAAATCCTGAAAAGTGTTCATTCTTTATGGAAGCATAGAGCATCGACAATCAACAATTATGCCATCTTTAAAGATAATATAGCTTGGTAACACTTTAGATTTAATCTCACAAACATTAACAATTCTTGCACAAAGATATGACATGCAAATAGAATTAAATATGTCACCAAATTTATGATAAACTTATTCATATGCTTAACAAAAGCACCTAGTCTTGTTCCACCAGACAGGTCCATTTAGAAGTGGATGCATTTGATACCCAAACTTACTAAACCATTTGCATAGTTTTTACTGCTTCAAGAGTTTGACTTTAATATTATTCATAAGCTAGGTAGACAACATATTCAAGTAGATAACTTCACTATTAGTATCAGTATTCATGACAACTTACCAGGTGCAACTTTTTTCAAGCTACACCAACTTGAGATTGCAAAATATTTGTCAATTCTATTCCCACAAAAATATGCTACACTAGACCAAGATAAGGCATTTATTATACCATATACACCCATAGCAGACAATACAAAAGATGGACAAGAAAACTTTTTAAGATGTTGCATACAAGCTTTAAACCAAAATGCAATATTGCAAGAAGCCTATGAAGGAAATAACTAGTGGCCACTTTGTGTGACATCACTGCATGAAAAATTTATCAAGCTAGCCTTTACACTTTTAAAGGATTATCACAACCTTTGCAAAGCTTGTGACTAAGCAAACACAACCTTTTAATTCCATGTCCTCTCATACCATTATAGATTTTGTTAGACTTTTCAAATCTCAAAATTGATACATCTTATTCACACTTGACTATGCCACTAAATGGGTTGAGGTTGTCATTGCTTGCACTCTTCTTATTTGAACACAAATATTTATTATAATGTAGAACCGAGTGAATATTCTATATTCTGCCACATCAGCAGTAGGTCAAGAATGTGGCATTAGAAGTCAAGCAGTTCAAATGGATGTATGCAATCAACAAGAATAAAGATGACTGCCATTAAGATCACCAAGAGGGAGCACACCCAAGTTATGGCAAAATGCTGATGAGAGGTTGTGCCATCTACAGGAGGCAAGAGAGTAGCTCAAGAATAAGAACCATCGACAGCCATATTGCCGGTACTGCAAAACTAGACTTCAGTAGTTCTTAGGTGGGTGTTAAGTTTGCCCAATTTTCACTGGTGCACTGCCCCAACTGTTGCAGCGAACAACACAGGAAGAATTCCGGTCCAATGAAAACCTAACACCCACTGGAGTTTGGTTTTAGCAACCCTGTTGCCGATGGTTTTTGTTCTTGTGCTGCTCTTTTGCCTCCTGTCGACCAACGGCATAGCCTCTCATTGATACACCTCAACATTGCCATAGCTCGGGGACATTTCCTCTTGGTGATCTTAACAGCAGGCATCATTATTTTTGTTGATTGTGTACATCCACTTGAACTACCTCAGTTCTTACCGACTGCTGACGTGGCAGAATACAGAATATTCTCTTGGTTTACACTTAACCTCAAATTTTCCTTAACTTAAACGATCAAGCTTTCCTTTTATCCTACCACACTTTAACCTTGAGCTTAAGATCCATCCATTCCCTTCACACACCATCACTGTTAACTTTGTGACAGAGAAGGACTCTCCCAGGCCTGGTGAGAGTAACATCCATTTTCTTCACACACCATCACCCTTAACCTTAAGCCTCAAGCTTAAGCTTAACAAGGCGATATCTCCACTAAATAATTGGCATTACGAAAGGGAGGGAGGAGACTCAACTACCTTAGACAAATTCAATGAGAAGAACTACAAAGCTTAGGGTATGCCAAAAAGGAACAGTGGTGAATATATCACTTAAGTGCATTGTTTGTCACATGGTTTCTATAGGAACAATGGCAGTCCAATTTCAAATCCAAGGCCAAAGCAACTCACCACCACTGGATGTACTCACGACTCTACAATTCTAGGTGTTCCTTGACGTTTATGGCTTCAAGAATCTCGTAAGTCCATGGAAGCAATTGTCAAGTCATCACATCTTGTCATCACTCTTGTTACAAAGATGTGATGACACAATTGCTGGAACTTAGCTATCACGATGCTTGAAGGTGTAACCGTCAAGGCTTGGAATTGTAGAGTTGTGAGTCCATCTATTGGTAGTTACTTCGGCCTTAAGGGATTCAAAATTCGAATATCGAGAAACAAAAAATGAGCAGCTGGCGAGCATAAATAAATCATTTGTTTTTTTTCTTTCGCCACACACAAGTTTCATTAGTTCCACTATGTGACTTAGAAGAAGCGCAAACATCTGTATAGTGCCTATTGCCGTTTCAGAATCTAATAAGGGCTCTGTCTTGCGGGGAGTGAGTGAAACAAGGCCTTGCTCTTCTAGCATGTCTCAACTCACTACAATCCTGCTATCAATTCCCCATCCCTGTCCACTTCAGTCTTCAAAATAGAAACCTTGGCAGCCTCCAAAATCACTTCAAACCCGAAGTTTCGTTGACAATGCCATTCTGAAAAAACTGTGGGATATGCTAACTCCGCTAGACTCTATCAAGTGCTCTGCTAGTGTATGATGTCTCACCACCACAAACACTGTGGCTTAACCACCGAGCCTCTGATACTAATGTAAAACATGTGGGATCCAAGGCAAGCAGGTTCTCCCTAGTACCTAACAGATGTGGAAAGGTGAAGTCCCGGACCCGCTCCCACAGTTCCCGCCCATGAATACATGTTTCATCCCTAGTACAGCATCCCATTCTACTCAATAACCTAAGTTGATGCAGAGTTAAAGATACGAATTAATTTACAGAACCACCACTTGCACAGAAGAATCTGGATAACCTCTATGAGGCATGGGGACAGCAAAATGCATGCTCATTGGAAGTCAACTTCACGTCGCATGCATTGTAGCTTGTTGTTGCTACACTCATGAAAGGAAAAAAAATTCGCACCTTTTCACATGATGTCTCGAATGCTAACAGCAAGGCAGAGAAGAAGTGGTGGAGCGCCAGGGAGATCTTGAGCGGGCAGGGCGCTGTGGAGAACAGGGGGACGAGCTTGGCGCCATAGTTTGAATTTAAACCCCAATTAAAAAGACATTAGGGTTCTTGAGCTCTCTAGGGCTTTCGTCCTCTCGCCAGGTATGTGATTTCATGATCGCGGCAGGCAGAGCGCTGCCCTGCGCATTGCATTTACATCCTCCTCCTCTGAATCTAAACCTAGGCCGCTTCCCCTCTCTTTCGCTAATCAATGCGCGTACCGTTTCCTACCTGACAAAAGAGATCCAAATCCAGCCTTGAGTGCCTTGGTTTCGCTCTGGATGCTGGGATTTCTCGTGAATAGGGTAATAGTGGTGATGTTTCCTTTTCCTTCCTTTGTCAGCCAGGCGATGGCCCTTCTTGCTTGCCTTGAAGGGAGGGCTTTTTGGGCTTAGTTTAATCCAATGCAGGTGTTGTGTGTAGCAGGGCATGCCTGTCAGTCCCCACTGGCTAGGCCCAGTTATCCGCAAAAACCTTTGCTTGCTTGCTCGCTCCATCTCTTCCTTGATCATGCTAGGCTAGTCTTAGATTTCAATCAACCAGAGCGTGCGAGCGAGCAGAGCGTGCGCGCCGAGTTGGGTCAATTGGTCCCATGTCTCGAGTGGTTCCCATGGCTTCTTACAAGCACCATCTCTCCAGGCAATGCATTGCCAGAGAGCAGCAAAGAGATCGGCCGAGCGTCAGGTGTGCCAATTTCGTGTGCTTGATTGGCTTGCTTGCGTTGGGCATTCTCGCAATCAGCTTGTCCTCGCTCAGGGTCATGCTAGGCTATCCGCATCGCCACAAGCTGCTGCGCAGTGGCAGGCTAGATCCCCAGGAATTGAATAGAACCTTGTTTTTGCAGTCGATCCAGGATCCTTGGACGCCGGAGGAGCTTCACAGGCTCAACCTCTTGCTGGAAGGCGATGGCGATGTGGTAAATCTGGAGCTTGTGAGGCGGCGGTGGCAGCGTGACATTCCAGAGGCGGCCTCGAGAGCCAGAGCCGCCAGAGCAGCGAGCATCGATGTGGATTCGTACTACCGTCACGACCACCGTCCCAACTCGGGCTATAGGAGGATCTCGGCTAGAGGGTCCAGGTTGCCGGTGGAGCTCACTCATCCTCGATACTCCACGCGTTGGGCGGAAGCGTCTCAAGCTCTACGCTCGTGGCTGAGGAAGAAGAGGTATGATCCCAGTGTCATGAACGAGCTGGTGGATCAAGTGAGTGCTCCTATCGTCAAGTTTCTCAATTCATCAGCAACAGGCTCTAGCGGGCGATTCCGGCAGTGTGCTGTGGTTGGAAACAGCGGCATCCTTCTCAACACCAGGTATGGATCTTTCATCGACAGCCACGAAGCAGTGTTGAGGCTCAACAATGCCAGAGTCACAGGTTTCGAGCAGCACGTTGGATCAAAGACGACGCTTTCCTTCATCAACAGCAACGTTCTAGCTCTGTGCTCTCGACGTCCGGGTTGCAATTGCCATCCATATGGATCCAGCGTCGCCACCGTCGTCTATATGTGCCAGGCTCTACATTTCGTCCACCTCAAGCTCTGTGGCTCTCTCATGGCCGATGCGCCGCTGCTCGTCACTGATCCCAGATTCGATGCTCTGTGCATGAGAATTGTCAAGTACTACTCGCTCAAGAAGTTCTTCCAGAGCTCCGGCGCTGCTGCTTCGGCCAGCTACTCGATCGAGCACTGGAAACGCATGCACGACGGCTCATTCTTCCACTACTCGTCTGGGATGCAAGCGGTGATGCTTGCGCTGGGGATATGCGACAGTGTGAATATTTTCGGATTCGGGAAAGCTGCCACCGCCAAACATCACTATCACACAAACCAGAGAGGGGAGCTCAACCTTCACGACTACGCGGCGGAGTATACACTCTACCAGGATCTCGCCAACAACAAGTCCAATCCTTTTCTAGACGAGGCCTCTGGATTCAAGTTACCGGCCGTCAGGGTTTTCACATAGATAGATAGAGTCGAGTCACCAGGTTCCGGTAGCCTTCTTTCTACGACAGGAAGGAAGTGAAAGGTAAAGGTCGGGCGGAGGCTGGAAATGCAGGCAAAGCAGTGGTGGCAGGTCTTGGGCTTAGCGGTGCTCCTACTCTTTCTCTGCAAGATGTCCGTCATGGTGTTGGACCAAGAGCTCCACCAGCAACACTTTAGCGTTGGCAGCGATACAGATGCAAGCCTGGCGAGGCTCCCCAGAAACCCAAGTCAAGACAAGCGAGGATGGCTGCTCGATCCTCTCAAAGCTGCTGCTCAAGCCGGCCTCTCAGGTAGGCTACTATAGGAATAATGGTGTGTGTGTGTGTGTAGCTTACTTTCATTCTTTCCCAGGTGGAGCGATTGAATGCACAGCAGTTCACGCAGGAGAGATTCAAGTAGGGGCCGTTCGTGCCAATCATCGGCATCACTTTTGCAACGAGACGTTTCTCCTTTGGAACGCTCGAGCGTTGTTTCGTGTAAGTTTTTTTGCGATCGATCTTATAAACCCGGTTGGAGCTGATATAACTTATCTCTCTCTTTTTCTCTCTCTTCCGCAGCTGGAGAACGCATTCATGGACAATGGATATGCGCAGGCTGTTGTTGGAGCTGGCGAGGTATCAATCGCCGCTGCGCCGGCTGGCCGGGCACATGCTTTGGCAAATATTGACAGGCACAAGACACTCTTTTTTTTGGCGTGTCAAGACGCTCTATTCAACCCCGAGAATCCAATGACAGACTTTCGGATATGGGACGATCTGTGACGAAATGAAAAAGCCCAAGGCAAAAGCTCTCTTGGCTCTCGGTCTTATTTTTTATAGAATGAAGCAAGAATCGTCGGTGGCGTCTCTCCGTGGCCGCGGCTTCAAGAATTGTGACACCACAACCCGAGAGAAAGAAATTCTTCTCTTTCTTTTCTTCTACTAAGGAGATGGATGGATCGTTTTCGGTAATAGAGCTCGAGGTAATCAATCGAATCGGGTCGGCGATCAGCATTTGAGTGTCAGCAGCGGGATGATGCCTCGTGTTCGCTTCAGGTACGCGACGTAGTCACTGTAGTGCATCGTGTAGAGTGAGCTCTGGTAGCGAGTGATTCTAAAGCGCCTGCGCAGTGACTCGGTTATAGGACCCATGAATCCTGCTTTTCTCACCAACGAGTCCACAGTTTCCACCTTGGTCCAGCCTGGAAAGATTGCTTTTTTCTATGGTCCTCTGGAAGAAAACAACAACAATCTCACGTACCTTCCTGAGCCGAAACTTCTGGCAAATAAGTGGCACTCCTACGTAAGTTATCCGGATCAGTGAACTCCAAGATCATCCCATGCTTCCCAATCTGCGGGAGTAAAATCAGTAGCAATTCCACCGGAGCAAAATCAATCAACCTCTCCCTAGCTACGAGGCAAGAAGAGAAGAATAAAACTATGCAAGAAAGCAAACAAGCCTCCCAAAAGGCTTGCAAAGAAGAAAATTTAAGAAAAATGCACCTCCCAATCTAAATAATTGGCTGCTGATTCATAGTCTGTTAGAATGGACACGGTACATTCCAGGAAAGGAATCTCCCGGGCTTGAATCGGAGGGAAGCGCCGGTCGCGGAGCGCACTGAAACATAGGTAGAGAAGAGGTCAACATCCTTCCACTTATTTTTTTCACATCTTTTCGCTCGAAACTCGGCTACCAAACACTAGCTAGCAAGGAAGGCATCCACTTAAAACCATAAACAAATGGTGCCATGACAAGGCTCTTTCACGCCAAGCAACCAAAAGAGCGCACCTGGTCAATGCGTAATCCTTGAAGCCAGTGATCAAGCAGCGAGCTTCCAGCGTCCCGATGCATCCTCGCAAGCGAGGCTCTCCACCATTCACAACTTTCTTCCAAGTCACGAACAGTGGGCTGCATGGGGAAAATGGAACGTGAAAGAGAGAATGGCAAACAATGCCAAGAACACTTACTAGTTCCCTTCCTCGAAGTCCGGCGTGGGAATCACATCTCCGGTGTAGTGGGCGACGAGAGTATCGAAGCAATAGACGGCCATCTCCTTGCTAGCGGAGACCATGGTGCTGCTGCTCCTGCGCGTCCGATGATGTTCGGAACCACGCCCCTAGCCACGCCCCAACCATAAGAAAAAAAAAAAGAGGAGAAAAAAAGAGAGCAAGTCTTCACTCCCCTTCCACTCGACTTGAGAATCACTCGCTCACTCACTCGCTCGCTTCTAAGAACAAGCAAGAAGCAGCAGCGGCAGGCATCCCTACCACTTCCGCAAGCCGCCTCTTCTTCATCAACAACAAGAGCCGCCGCCACAAATGAGTGCTGCTGCTGCCGCCACCGCCGCCGATTCGCGCGCCGTCGTCCTCCACCCGAGCGCCGTGGCCGCAGCAGCGCATCAGCCTCTCGTGCTAGGGCATCATCGCCATCGCCATGACTGGCGAGCGCACAGCAAGCAAGCCAAGCCCTAGAAAAAAGAACACGACAAGTAGGGAATCTAATTTGACGAAAGGAAGGAATAAACCTCCTTCTCTCTCCTTTTCAAAATGGCCTCATGCTACTAGCTTGCGCGATGAGCGCCTCGAAGACCTCGGCCCTTTGGTTCCCAAAGGTACTCCGGCAAAGCTTGTAAGCCACCTCTCTCACCACTCGCAATGGCCCCTCGTCTCTCACCACCGCCGACGATTCCAAGTACTGCCGCAGCTCCATCACTTCCCCGCACTGCATTATCAGCGATCGCCAGTGCCCCGGCACCGTCTCGTGCAAGCAGCTCACCAGATCCTCCCATGGCGGCACCGTTTGCATGAAATCCTCGAAGAAGTCCGACGATGGCATCCCGGCCAAGTAGGCCAGCGCGTACGAGGCGCGCAGCAGCGTGTCCGCGCTCGCGCTTCCCTCCGCCTGGAGCCGCACGGCTAGCTGCCCGAAGCTCGCGCACGCCGGGAGAGGACCGGGCACCTCCCCGGCCTCCGCCGCCGCGTTGATCTCCCGGAAGGCCTTGTCGTGGAGGAAGTTGAACTGCTCGTTGATCCTCCGGAAGGCCTTCTGAGAGCCGCGCTCGCTGGAGCAGCGGCGGCACTGGCACTGGAATCCCCACCGCTGGCAGATCTCCTGCCGCGCGTGGAACGGCACCAGCGCGTCGAAGTATGGGAGAGTGATCTCCTCCCCCTCGCCGATGTCTCGAGCCGCGTGGACGAAGAGCGCTCGCCCGACTTCCAGCCGCGCGGCATTCGGACAGCACGAATGGTTGATGAAAGCCGGCAGCGGCCACAGTCCGCACGACTTGGAGTTAAGGATGGCGTCGGCGCTGTTGCACATACCATCGAGCTTGTGCCACAGAGACTGGCCGAACGAGAACTCCTTCACCACCTTGCGGACGCTGTCCGTGTCGATCCTCACGTCGCCATTGTTGTCCTGGTCGAAGGTCTCGGAGTACCAGCGGCTGTTGGGACGGAACAAGTCCAGCGACGGGATCTTGGTCGACGACATGAGGCTGCTCAGCTGCTGGAAATTCCGCCTCGAGCACGCCACCGCCGCCATGATCTTGGCCATTAGGTCCTCCTGAAGTGATGTCGCCTGGCAGCTCGGCGGAGAATCGCTGTAAGCTACTGCCAAGGCATTGGTGACGAGCAGCGTTTCTCCAGCCTTGACGCTCTCGGTGACGAACAGGCCTCGACCGGAGGCGATGGTGGACTTCCGGATTGCCACGGGGCCGACGTAGTCCGCGCAGCTGGGAGCTCGGTCTCGAGCTCGGCCAGCGATGAGGAAGCCACTGATGTCGAAACTCCCGTGCTTGCTCTGCTTGATACTCGTCTCGCACTGCTGGATGAGGCCTCCCATATGATCTCTCGACATCTCCGCAGCCTTCTTCATGCACGCCAGCGCCATCTCGTACTCGTGGAGTCCGTGGAGCGCTCGGGCTTTCCGGCAGTGGCTTTTCACGTTGGAGAGATCCAGCTTGAGCGCGTTATTCGAGTCAGAGAGCGCTTGCTCCGGATTTCCAATCCTCAGCATCGTTTCAGCTCGGTTGGAGAGAGCCACTGCCATCACCTCGCGAAGATTGGAGCTGAGAGTGATGCACTTGGTGTAAGCTTCCGCAGCACCTATCCAATCCTTGGACGCGAAGAGCTTGTTGCCTTCCATCTTGAGCGACGCGGCGCTGGCCTCCTCGGAGATGGGAGCTGGAAACTCACCGCTCGAGTCGGGTACTGCCAACACCCTCTCGATGTTGAGAAGATTGTCCACACGCAGCACCAAAATCCCTCCTTTCTCCCGCTTGAGCACCGGCTCCTTGATCGCCACTCTCATCCCCACTGGAAATCTCTGCTTCACGCCCGCATTGCTCGTGTTGGAGACCGCCACATTGTACACGGACAGCAGCACCGCGCGCTCGCTCGCGTCTTCCAGCACCGTGTGGATGCCCTGGCTCTTGAAAGCCTCGCCACACAGCGTCCCAAAGAGCGCACACCCTGTGTGATGCTTCCCCGGCTTGAGATCCGCGAGTCCGATCGGCTGGAGCTTGTGGAGTGGCGGAGCTGCTGGCTGCGACATTGGCTCCACGGCCACTGCCCCGATCTTACCTCGCGTCGCGTGGATTTCCAGCACGCGTGCCTTGATCAGCCATTCCTCCATTGGGAAAATGTAGCTCCTACCTTAAACCCTAAAAATGTGGAGGGAGGAAGAGCCCTAAAAATGGCGCTCTCTCCATGCGCTTGTGGCTACCAGGTCAGTTCGCGGGCATTTCATTGCGAGCCGCGAAATCTTCGTCTTCTCTCCGGATGCTCGATTCCACGGCAACGACGATGGCAATGCTCATCGCTGGGAATTGAAAATCCGGTCTTGTCCGAGGAGCAGCAGCAGCGTACTCTCACACATTCTCCGATTTTGGAGTGGAACGATGCCTTGAGTTGCTGCGAGCCTCATGGCCAGCACAGGCTGAGAGTAGCAGTGCTCGTGAGTGGAGGAGTGGATAGTAGTGTGGCATTGCGGCTACTCTGTGCGGCTGGACACTCGTGCACTGCCTTCTATATCAAGATCTGGTTCCAGGTACTAGAAAATCTTTTTGGATTGGCAGAGGCATTGACAAGATCTGGCTAGCTCCACAGGAGGATTTCCAAAACTTCTGGTCGTCTTGTCCATGGGAGGAAGACTTGAAGTATGCTCAAGACGTGTGTGACGAGGTTTGCTTTGTTTTTGTTCCTTTCTTTGTGGTTTTCTTATTGGAAGATTTTTTGTTTGTAGGTGGGAGTGAAGCTGGAGATCGTCCATTTGACTGATGTCTACTGGAACAAGGTTGTCTCCAAATGCATCACGGAAGTTCGGGCCGGGAGGACTCCAAATCCTGATATCATGTGCAACACCGTTGTCAAGTTTGGTATGGAAGCTGTTCTTTGGATTTTCCTTTGCGTATACTAAGCCTGACAATCAGGTGCTTTTCTGGATCACATTGACAGGACTAAGTTCGATCGAGTTGCCTCCGGTCATTATGCTCGAGTGGAGCGGTATGTGGATGAGCAGGGGACAATACGTGCACGACTAAAGCTATCAAAAGATGAAGTAAGGCTCCAGCTCTTTTCGCGCTTTTGCTTTTGAGCGAACTGTTGATATTGCAGGTCAAGGACCAGACTTACTTTCTCTCGCAGCTCTCGCAGGAGCAACTGGGATTTCTTATGTTTCCTTTAGGCAGTCTGGCGAAGGTGAGGATCTCGACTTTTTCTCTTTTCACCCGCAAGTAACTCGAATGCTGGCAGCCTGAGGTCCGTCAACTTGCTCATTCTCTGAATCTTCCAAACAAGGATCGGAAAGATTCACAAGGCATCTGCTTCCTTGGCAAGGTTCGTTTCTGCTGGTCCCGTCTCACAATGTCTCTTTGATGGACGGGTTTTACAGGTCAAATTCAGTGACTTCATATCCAGACACCTTGGCGAAAAGGAAGGTCTTCTCATCGAGGCCGAGACCGGAAAAACAATGGGCAAACACAAAGGATTCTGGTTCTACACAATCGGCCAGAGGCGTGGTATTAGTCTCTCACACGGACCGTGGTATGTTCTCAAAAGAATTTTTCCCCCCCTCCTCACTGCAGTCGTGTCGTGCAGGTACGTTGTGGCAAAGGACTCGGAGAAAAATCTGGTTTATATTTCAAGGCATTACTTTTCCGGGGATAAGAAGAGACGAAACTTCTACGTTGATAATTTGAGCTGGTTTTCAACGATACCCGACCCCAGTTGTCCGATAAAATGCAAGGTGGGATTTTCTCGTTTTCATCGTCCTTGCCGTCGATTTACCAGGAATTCCGTGGCCCCAGGTCCGTCACGGTCCCAGTTTTCACGACTGCGAGCTCGAGGTTGAACGGGAGAAGCAGGGTGCCCGTGTGAAACTGCTACACAACGATCAAGCTCTAGCAGCCGGTCAGTACGCAGCGTTTTATGCTGGAGAGACTTGCCTGGGGTCTGGCATGATCACGGAATCGATGGACGATTTAGAGTCGTGCACAGTCTCCGCTCGAGCTTTGGAAGATGGTAGACCAACACTTGGCGTGGTGAAGCAAGACGAACACACTAAATCGCTGCCACTCGGGACTACTGTGGCACGGCTGATCGTGGACAAGCTGCTGGTGCCATCTGTGAGGAAATTGGAGCAGATTCTCGCTAAGATCTTGACACACCACCACAGTGATCCATAGCTCGAGCCGGATTGACTCGACAGGCGCAGCGAAGCAATGCTCTTCTGTCCTCTGGCGTTGGGATTCTCCAAAGGCTGCTAGACTCGCCGGCTGGCTGCTTCAAAGTGAGTGACGTATCCTTTTTCCTTTCGTTTCCTTCTATAAAGTAGCGAAATCGCTCGTCCATTTGACTAACAGTTTTGCTGGTACCTCGAAACTCGAGTGTGTCAAACAGATGGCAAAGACATGGGCCCTCGCTCGCCACCGAGCTGGAAAGCAAGCTATAAGCGAAAGACTGCTAGAAAGGCTTTGAGACAATCCACCATGTTTACCAAGTAAGACTTGTTCGTCTTCGTTGTTTCAGTTAACTGTTCCATGGCCGCCATTAATAGTTTTTGCGATCGCTGTGAATGCAAGAGAAAGAAAAGAAAAAGAAATTTTTTCCGGAGATCTCAACGGAAACAAAAGGAAAGAACAAGAGCTTCCTAACGACCGATCCAAGGCAACGATTGCATCTCGGATTCTCCAACAGCATCGATCGTCAGCAGCAGCAGCAGCAGCAGCGCAAGAACTCGACGCGACGCGATGGGCCTTCTTCTTGTTCTTGGTGGAGGGGCGCATTTCCATTCCCGTCCATCGCCATGGTTCGTTATGGCTAACCTTCGACACACCAAGAAATAGGCCGCGCAGCGGCACAAAACGAGAGAGAAAGAAAAAACAAGACGAACGAACTCAAACCAAACCAATCCAAATGGTTTTATAAAATTCCATTCCTCTATGCCCGATCCCGATCCACAAAACAGTTTCTATGATTGATCGATCAATCCGAGAGACACAGTCTCTTTGCATTTCAAGGAGAAACCATAAATCTTTACAAGACAAACGCGTTTGTGTGTGTGCCAGCCAGCCAGCCATGGCCTCTCGATCGATCCATCGATCAAACGAAGATTAGAAGGAAAAAAACAACCATCCTATCTTCTTCTTCTTCTTTCTGTTCCTCACGGCACCTACAGGATGCGTGAATGGATTCATCTCACTCTCTCGACTCTCTGCTGCTAGATCATGTGAGCAGATGCATGAGCTTGGCAGGAGCGGCGATTTGCGGCTCCTCGGAACAAGGCGGAGGCTGATTCAAGTCGAGAAATGGAAGCGGCTTGGTGGATACCGGAGGAGCTGCCTCGGCATCGATAACGGACGAGGAGGAATCGCAGTCGCTCTGATATGTGGAGCTCTGCTGGATCGCCTTCTGCTGCTCCGGCTCTTGTGGCTGCAAGCAAGGAGAAGATTTGACGAGCCACGCTGCCTGATGGTGGTGATGATCCAGCGCCGCTAGCGCCACGGCCGACGAAGAACTAGTGTTGTTGGTGGTAGTACCAGTCCTCATCTTCTTGACGTCGGGAGCAAAAGCCTGGCGAGCGAGGTGGAGCGATGGCGGCGAGGAATCCACCGGCAGCGCCTGGGGGATGATCAAGGATCGCTTGATGCCATGGCCGCTGTTGTTGGCGGAGGAGCAGATGGGATGCTGGTGGTGGAGGAAGTGGAGTGGAGTAGCCACCGGGATGGCCTCGAATGGGCCTCGGCAAGGGCGGAAGCTTGTGATGGTGGAGATGGCGGATTCGTGGCCTCCTCCGGTCTGGACTGATGGGTGATAGCGCTGCTGCTGGTGCTGGCCATCGTCCACGATCTGGATCATGGACGAGGCGAGGTCGGGCATTCCTAGATTCAGATCCACAACGCTGGCGGCCCGCCCGGATCCAATCATCCTGCTCGGCCCCCTCCAGGACGAGAGATCACTGGCGACGGGCAGCGCCAGCGGTGGAGGAGGGCGGTGGTGGATCAAGTGGTGGTGGTGGTGCTGCTGCTCGTGCTTGGGACTGCTCCAAGATTCCACGGTGGAGCTCTGGCTGGTGCTCTGATCATCGCAGGGCGGGGTGAAATTGGTCTTGGCCTTTGCTCCGCGCAGCGCCCGGGCTGCATTGTCGTAGGCCCGCGCCGCCTCCTCGGCGGTGTCGAAGGTGCCGAGCCACACGCGAGTCTTCTTCCAGGGATCCCTTATCTCCGCCGCGAATCGCCCCCACGGCCTTTTCCTCACGCCCCGGAAGTGCGCCTCCTTCACCGCCGCGCCGCCGGCCGCCACGGACTTGATGCTCACCGCCGCCTCCTCCGCCTTGAAGCCACCCATTCTCATTCCTCTCGATTCGTCAATCCAATGAATGGAGGAATGGATGAATTCGCTCGCTTGCGCTTGCTCGCTCGCTGCTCAGCAGCTAGCTCGCTAGCAACCTTCCAGATCGAAGGGATCGGCCGACCCGATCGGGCAGACCAAGAAGAAGCTCGATTCCTAGGGAAACTCTCTCCGCAAAGAAGAAGAGAAACGCTTCAAAGACCCATGAAGAACCCTAATGCTCCAAGCGCTAAATTTTATTTTAACCGCAAGGGAGGGATTTCCCGGGCGTGCGTGCGGCGGCGGCGGGAGGGCCGGCGAAACGGCCGGCCGCATGCGGACGGCGCGGCGGGCTAGACCTAAAATGGCGCTGGCGGATCGGACGACCAAGATTTGTTTCGTTGCGGCCGTCAATGGTCAAAGCCCGGCCGTCAGGCCGGCCACGGTGCAGTGCGGACAGTGACGGGTGACGACCCGAGGTGGGACCGGACTGGCGTGACGGGCGGCGACGGGCAGATCCGGCATAATCGTGTGCTCGCGCCGCCGCGCCCGCCCTTCAATGCGCGGCGCCGTCCAGCCCGGCCGGTCCCACATGCATGGCGGTATTTTCTTTCATTCCTTTTCGCGTCTTTTGTTTAGTCGGAAAATAGTTTATCTTTTCTCCCATTTATGCCCCAGGCTGACATGGATGGCATTGGTCGGTGATGATGCATGTGGACTCGCAGACACGTGGCGTGCCCGGACTTATGGGCCCCATGCCCCATGTCACACTCTATACGGCTACTCACCGGCTGCTTTTTCGCGCGTACCTTCATGGAATCATTCCGCCGCCCCCACCAGAGGTGCTGATGCCAGCATGACCATGGCCACAAATCAGACATGTGACCACGCATGTCCGTACCAGATCCATGCCTTCTCGGAGAAGAGGTCTTGTCTGCCAGCATCCGTGGCGGCGCTGGCGGCAAAAGACCAATAGAGTAACCTAAATTTTTGGATTGAAAAGAGGGGACGGCATATGCCGCTACCCGTGAATCACGCCCTTGCAGAGTGCCGCCATCCGTACACGCACAACGCCGGCGGTGCTGTTGTCACGCGCCAGGGGTGTATCTGTTTTACCCCTTGGTCACCGACATTACGGTCTTCACTTCACTCTTCAGCTTACCTACACATTACCTCACGTAGAAACTCGAGAGCTTGGGAATGGAGGGTCCCATCCCATGGGTATGCCATGCCATATCATTTATCCCATGGCCGTCCACGGTCCATCCATGCATCCATTCTATCCCTCCCAGCCGTTTTCACCACTTTAAATTACCGTGTCCTCGGGCGTCCTCCTAAATTAATTTTCCCTCCCATGCAGCAGCAAGTATGGTAGAGGTTATGATTTTCTTTGTTGTTAATGTTCCCTTGTGCAGGTACCACACGCCCGAGGTTTACTCCTTAAAAACCCTTTAATCTCGGTAACGATACCCTTGATTATGAAACGGATTAAGCCTTTAGCCTTTGTTTAGAAAAACCACCCCGATCCCGCCATCGCCACTCAAACAAGGAAATGCCGGCAGTAGAGGGACCGGGCGTGCCGTTTGCCGGGAATCCCCCGGGTAGTGTGCAATGCATGTTGTCACAGCGCCGCCACCCACGCACTGGGGCGGTGGGGGCTGCAGCAGCAGGCAGGGCACAGCACTGTACTGCACACTGCATGACCACCGCCATCCACCTCCCTCCCCACCATAGATAGCTGAAAATCCCTGTCCAGTACTGTATTATACACTTATATATGTGCTGGGCGTAGGGTAGAGCGTATAGCTCGCCAGACAGGGAGAGGCCTCGCGACGTCTGCCTAGGCTCTAAATACGTCTTGGTTAAAGTATGTATGAAGTATGAAGACGAGGGGCCCGGGTGATTTGCAGGCAATCATCATGTGGTGATGCATGCGGTTTGTATGTTTGACGGCCACCTACCTAGTGTACGGCCCCTGCGGTGGCCCCACGTGCCAACCATCTGTTTTTCGCGGCTCTTGCGCACCGCGCGGGAAGGTGTTACTGGGCTGCGCGCAGGATGACCACACGGCTGCCGCCTGGCACAAGCGCACGGCAGCCACGTACGACAGCCTTTCAGGTGCCCACCCGGCCGCCGGCCGGGCTTGGCAGGCCGCGGTCAAACGCGTGGAATCGACGGTTGGGATGCCTGCTGACATGGACAACAAGACTGGTGAAAAGACGGCGGGAGTGGCGGCCGCCGTACGGATGGCCGCCACGCGTCGCCATGCCTGTGAGCCGGCGTTCGTGGCCCAACGCCCGTGCGCCTGTCGGCGACCTGTCGGGGGAGAGGGAGTTTTTTCGATTCGATTTGATTAGGCCCCGCATTTTTTTGCCTTGTGACACATTTTTCTAAATTGTGATTGATGCACACCCTTACCATTATCCTTTTGTCTATATTTCTCGTCCAATAGAAGCCCGCAAATTGGTAGTGTTTGGCGCAAAACGTTAAAAGTAGCCATGCCTTTCAGTGAGCGATGGAATTTGCGAGCAGCACATACGCGGACCCATGCCTGGAGTCGAGTCCAAGAGCACGACCTGCGACCTCGGCCCCATAACCAGCATAGCCAGATTGTTGGTAGGAACTTAGCAAGCATCTCCACTCGAGCGCATCGGGCTCAAAGGGCATGTTGAGGATGAGATCCCTGGCGTTATCCAGATGCCCGGCACGCGCAAACAAATCGATCATACAGCAAAAATGCCGCTTGTTTGGGACCAAACCAAAGTCCATGGCCATGGAACTGAAGCAGGCAACACCACGCTCCACATTTCCGCTGTAGCTTCTCGCAATCAAAGCGAGAGCGAAGCAGGACTGGTCGGGGAAAAACTCCGCCTTGATATGATCAAAGGTGTCCAGCGCTTCGAGTGTGTGCCCGGTTTGAGCATAAGCAGCAAGCATCACGCTCCACGATACCAAGCACCGCTCAGGCATGGATCCGAGAACAGCACTCGCAAGCTCAAGGTGTCCGTTTAGCGTCAGGGCTGACAAAAGAGTGTCCCAAGTTACTTGGTCCCGAGCGGGCATTTCGTAAAACAAGGCCTTCACTTCCTTGACATGTCCATGTTGAGCATACGCTGCAAGCATCGAGTTCCACGACACAAGAGTTCTCTCTGGAATACTATTAAACATCACCTTGGCCTCTTCCACGCGGCCGCCAAGAGCATATCCCGAAAGCAACGCCTCCATGGACACAACATTCCTTTGTGGCATGCTGTTGAAAATGTCCTCGGCGAGCTCCAAATGCCCGTTTTGGGCATATGCCGAAAGCAAAGCCGTCCACGCTATGAGATTTCTCTCCGGCATGGCATCAAAGGTATCCCTTGCTTCGCGAACTCGGCCCTGTTGTGCATATGCAACAAGCATTGCAGTTAACGAGACGAGGTCTGCCTCTGGCATGTCTTCAAACACGCTCTCACAGCCTTGGATATTTCCTGCTTGCGTGTGGGCGTGAAGGAGAGCCGTCCAGGCCAGCAGATTCCGCTCGGGCATTCTATCAAACAGCTCTTGGGCTCTTTGAAGATGATGGTGTCCACTCTGGGCATATGCGTCGAGCATCACAGTCAAGGCTATTAGATCCAGTTGTGGCATCGAATCAAACATCGCTTTTGCAGCATCAACTTGGCCATCTGATGCAAATTGTGCTGCCACTGTCGTCCACGATATAAGATCGTGTTCTGGCATTTGATCGAGCAAGCGCTTTGCTATGCAAAAATACCCAGCTGTGGCAAATGCTCTTATGATGGCTGTCCACGACACCAAATCCCACAGCGGCATTGAGTCGAACAGAGCTATGGACGCTTCGAGGTCGCCAGATCTGGAGAACGCGCCGAGAAGGAGATTCCAAGATATAAGATTCTTCCAAGGCATCTGCTGAAAGACGGATCGAGCTTGAAGAGAATGCCCGTTCCTGGCATACACCGAAATCATACAGTTCCATGACACAACGGAGTGGTGTGGCATTGAATCAAACACTCTCTTTGCTTCGTGGAGATTTCCATTTCGGACATGCTCCGAAAGAACACGGTTCCAGTCCTGGAGCATTGGATCAAGCACACGATCACCATCGCCGTGAGAGCAACGACCACGTTTCTAGCTAAGAGCCATGACGGGTCTTTGCTGCTGCCCTTCTTCCTCGTACTCGACCTACAAAAAGGAGAGCGCGTGAGAAAATTCACCAAGGAAGAAGGAACCACGCACCTCAACTGTTGGCCGCCTCTTCTTCTTTGGAAGAAGAGCAGCCTCTTTACGCTTCCGCCTTCTATCGTCATCGTCATCGTCTTCCTCCTCCTCGTCACTGCCATCGCTGTCGTCTTGAGCGTCATCTCCATCGTTCTCGAGCATATTCATCGCTGTGAAGTCTTCGATATCATCCTCTTCTTCCAGCTCGTCATATCCTTCTACATACTCTGGCACGGGCTCTTCTTCTTCTTCCTGGAAAGAGAAAAGAAACGGAAAAACTTGGCAGTGAGCAATGTTTGTCTGGAATGTCAGCTACCTCTTCTTCTTCTTCCTCTTCTAGTTGCGTGTCATCGAGAACTTTGTTGTAGAGCTCGGTTGGGAAATTGTATATGTCACCGTAAGTACCACTTTGAAGCCTCTGGAGCAGTTCTTTCTCGATCGCCTGAAACAACGAGTGTTGTTCTAAGACATGGAAAGAAAACCAATGATCTCGTTGCAATTACCCTGTCAAGAACAGCCGCAACTTCAGCTTTGGCCTCCCTACGGGCCTCCCTCTTGACTTGCTTTGCAGGCATCGTCACAAGCTTTTCACTGCAGTGAAAGAGCGCACGAAAAATCCGTAAGAGAAGAGATTGAGGAAACAACTATACGAACTTGTTTTTCAAGGCGAGCCTGCGCATTCGGATCAAATACTGTGTCATTTTTGTGAGACGCTGCTTGTTTTTGTGTACCAAAAACTTCGGCCAATGTTGCTACAAGGAAAAACCATAGATTGAACCATGAGCAGAGTGCTAAAATCCATCTAAAACATACCAAATGCTTGTCAACGAGCTCCAGAGCTTTCGCATAGTTCTTCGGAAGCTTCAACCTTTCCCACAGCTTATTTGGAGTGTGTGCTCTCTCTATACTTTTCATATAGAGATACAAAACCCCTGAGAAAAAACGAAAGAAAATAACTTGTTTTGAGAAGAAAGAAGAAAGAGCTTGCTTGCCTTCGTGCTCCCTGATTGTGGCATATCGACTGTTGGCAAGAGGACAGGAGCTGCGATTGCAAAGCCCCGTGACATTGTATTGATTCCGACAGAAACTCTGCGTCTGGGTCCTGCATTTCCGATCGATCGCAATTGAGAGAGAGATCCACCAGCGGCAATCGAGTCGCTTACTTGGCCCGGAAGCTACACTGGTTGTGATTGATCACCTGCCATATCACCTCGTCGTGCTGCATCCTCGCTTCGCCTTAAACCCTAACCCGCCAGGGCGAGTTTAGGGTTTGTGCCGTACATATATGACCATGGGATGGATGGTACGGACGATCGGCTGAATGGTAGGCAAATCACGTGGGAAAATGGTCGGTAAGGTTTCCTGGCCGTCCGATTTGATCGACTGTGGAGAAGAAGAAGAACACACCCTTTCTGTGGGAGAGAGGACGAAGCGCGAGGAGGGAGATGGGGAGCGCGGAGCTCGAGACGCCAATCTTTCCACTCAGCGCCTTCAATGTCAGCGTTGTCGTCGCCCTCCTCTCCATCGTCGCCGGCGCCTTGTTCTTGTTGATTTCCAGCCGCCGCTCCAAGAGTGAGTGATTCTTCCTCGGATTTCTTCACAGATCCGATGCGCAAGGCATTCTTGTCTCGAATCTGTGCGCGCTCGCGAGTTTAGGTCTGATCGAGGATTTTTCTTCCAGGGGCTTTGGATCCCGAGAAATGGATCGATTTCAAGCTGGTCAAGAGGGTCCAAGTTAGCCCCAACGTTACCAAGTTTCGATTTGCATTGCAGACTCCAACCACGATTTTGGGACTTCCAATCGGCCAGCATATGATGTGCCGGTAAGAAAAATTCCATCCCTTCGCGATCCTTGCTCACGCATTGTGTTTTTCTTTGCTCGCTAGTGGTAAAGACCGAGATGGAGCTGATGTGATCAAGCCTTACACACCGACAACGCTGGATTCGGATGTTGGTTACTTCGAACTCGTTGTCAAGGTGTGTTTCTCCTCACCAAACGAGCGAACGTTCCATGTCTCAAAAGAAACTTCTTGCAGATTTATTCTCTAGGACGAATGTCTTACCATTTTAGCGAGCTCAAAGAGGGTGACTACTTATCGTGCAAAGGACCCAAGGTGAAGTGAATTCCTTCCATAGCTTCCTTCTCAACAACAGGAATTTTGCAAACAGGGCCGCTTCACTTACAAGCCAAACAAATTCAGAGCTTTTGGTATGCTTGCTGGTGGTTCCGGCCTGACTCCAATGTACCAGGCAAGCCCTCACGTTTTCTAGCCTCAGATACGAGCATGAAATCATGTTTCTACATTTCAGGTGACTCGGGCCATTTTGGAGAACCCGGCTGACAAAACAAAGATCTTCCTCATCTATGGGAACGTGACATATGACGATATATTGCTCAAGGTGAGGTGCTTTTGTGCTTTCTTTCATCGCGCGCGGTCTTGTCACTCTTGTCTTTTTTACAGGAAGAGCTCGACAGCATGGTAAAGAAATTCCCGGGCCGCTTTGGAGTGTACTACGTACTAAATGACGTGAGTTTCTCAGCTCCACACATCGCAAAATCTCTTTTTTCTCAGCTTAAGTGCAACTAACTTGTTCTTACTTTCTCTCGGTCCAGCCTCCGGCAGATTGGAGTGGTGGCGCAGGCTTTGTAACAGCGGACATGATCAAGACGTACTGCCCAGCTCCTGCCGATGATATCCAGGTACGTAGCACGAGAAGAATTCAAACGCTAGAAGCGATGACGAACTCTATTTTCTTTCAACAAACAGATTTTGAGGTGTGGACCTCCTCCGATGAACAAAGCGATGGCCACACACTTGGATGCGCTCGGCTACTCTAAGGAGATGCAATTCCAATTCTGAAAAGGGACCAAGAGCACCTCTAATGATAAACAAAAACCATTTTTTTTGTGCTTCTCTCTCTCCCTTTCTCTCTCGATTAATAGGGCTATACACGAGAATGCAAAACCCAGAGCTTGGGTTTATGGCGGCTTCCTCGCTCGCAACGCTGGCGAGGCCAAACGGTCTTGTAAGTAGAACAAATCTTAGTTTTGTGGATCCTGGAAGGGACTACCTAGGTGCTAGCCTGTGGTGCAAACAAAGAGGAGCTAGAAAATCCTTGCTAGTGTGCGCGGATGCCAAGAAGATCGCGATTGGCGAGCAATCTCGACTGGCTCTACAAGCCGGGATTGACAAACTGGTGGACGCGGTTGGTGTCACACTGGGACCTCGAGGTTTGCTTTCTCTGTTGGAAGAGAACTTTTTTTTCATGTGGTTTTTCTACAGGGAGAAACGTTGTTCTCGATGAGAAGGACAAGGATATACCCAAAGTCATCAACGATGGAGTAACAATCGCAAAGATGATAGAACTTCTAGACCCAATGGAAAATGTTGGAGCTTCACTCATCAAAGAGGTCTGGCTTCTCTCTCTTCGTTTCTTCTAAACTTCTGCGAATCAATAGGTGACCATGAAAACGAACGATTCCGCGGGCGATGGCACTACCACGGCAGCTGTTGTGGCAAGGGAACTTGTCAAGCTCGGCCTCTTAAGTGTATCTTCCGGTGCCAATCCTGTTGCTTTAAAACGAGGAATCGATAAGACGGTCTCGATGTTGGTAGAGGAATTAACACGAAGATCGCGGCCAGTCAAAGGCCACAACGATATCAAAGGTATGCTCGGTGGTGTTTTCTAAAACTCGTTGCTTACTTTGCTCGTTCCTCAGCAATCGCGACGATCTCTGCTGGTAACGACGATGCTGTCGGGAAAATGATAGCGGACGCTTTGGACAGAATTGGTCCGGATGGGATCCTTTTGATCGAATCGTCGTCAACTTTGGAAACTTTTCTCGTGATCGAGGAGGGAATGCAGGTATATGTTTCGTACGTGTTTCTCTTGTTTGCGTTCTTTGCTGAGACGACTTAGCACATAACAGTAGTTTGACAGGGGCTACATCTCCACAAGCTTTGTAAACAATCAATCCAAGTCGACCGTGGAGCTTGAAAACGCGCGCGTCCTGGTGACAAACCAGAGAGTTTCATCAGCCAAGGACGTAATTCCAGCTCTGGAGAAAGTCACACACCTGGGCACTCCATTGCTCGTTATAGCCGAAGACGTAACAGGAGAAGCACTATCCATGCTCGTTGTCAACAAGATGAGGGGCATTGCGCAAGTTGCTGCTGTCAAAGCTCCAGGCTATGGTGATAGGAAGAAGGCCCTTCTGCAAGACATTGCAATCTTCACAGGTTTGTTGCTCTTCCATTTTCTAGGAGGCCCTTGACGTTTCTTTCTTTTGTAGGTGCCGAGTTTCTGGCTGGTGAGCTAGGATTGCAACTTGAAGACTTGACGATCGATCAGCTTGGTGTTGCAAAGAAAGTTACAATCAAAGAGAAGTCGACGGTCATTCTGGCTGATGATGCTACCAAGGGAGAGATCAAGGCAAGAGTTGCTGAGATCAAGAAAGACTTGGAGCTGTCAGACTCCGCATATCATTCCGAGAAGCTAGCAGAGAGAATCGCAAAGCTCTCTGGTGGAGTGGCTGTTATCAAGGTTTGTAGCAACACATATCTCTCGAGAACACGCTCAAAGTCTTAGAAGCTGTCTTTTTACAGGTTGGAGCTGCGACGGAGGCGGAAGCCGAAGATCGAAAGCTCCGGCTTGAAGACGCAAAGAACTCCACTTTCGCTGCTGTCAAAGAGGGAATTGTTCCGGGCGGAGGAGCGGCCATGGTTCACTTGTCAGCGGCTGTTCCAGGCATCAAGGAGAGTCTAAGCGATCCTCAAGAGAAGCTCGGTGCTGATATCGTGCAAAAGGTATGGCAACCTTCGCTGGTGGCTTGGTTTTCACTCTCTTTTCCAGGCACTTTTAGCTCCGGCAGCTTTGATTGCCAGCAACGCGGGCGTGGAGGGACAGATGGTGGTGTCAAAAATCCTCGAGAGCGAGTGGGAGTTTGGCTACAACGCGATGACGGATAAGTTTGAAAACTTGGTTTTGGGCGGAGTGGTGGATCCGGCAAAGGTGACGAGGTGCGCTCTCCAGAATGCGGCGTCTGTGGCGGGCATGGTGTTGACAACCGAGGCCATCGCCGTGGACAAAGTGAGAAAGCCAAAGCCCAAAGTCCCTCCCGTCCCAGGAGTAACGGACCAGCTATAATACTTTGTTCCAAGACAATTTAGAATTCGCTCACGAAGCATAGTTTATTGTGTTGACTTAATGTATACAATAGCTGGAAAAATTTGCTGTGGTGAGATCGCTGGCCTATTGATCTTGGCCTTTTGCGGTTGATCTGCAATATAAATTACAAATGCAGGCTCCTCGGCTGTAGAGAGGTAGCAGTAGTTGAAAATGTTCAAGTCTAGTTTGATCTTGACAGTATTGGCTGTGGTGATCTCTGTAAGTTATCCTGGTTGTTTAGTTTCATTCATCCTGTTTACGTTTTGCAGGCATCCGGATCATCTGATGGTAGTCCTGGATACAGCCATGAAGATCACGGTCATCACGGTGTAGCTACGGAATTTTGCACTGGTAGTTTCTTGGATACGTGCAGTCTGAGCTCTTACGACCAGAAAGCCGGAGTCCTCGCCGCGAGATGCACCAAAATAGATGGCACGAAACAAAACACGACACTCAACGTCAAGTCTTGCCCTTTGCACGTCCGGAGCTGTACGTTTGATTCGAGTTGCGGGAACTTCAGCTGCAAGCGTCGGGACGGTCGGGCAGTAGATGTGACCAAGCTTGCCACAAATATCAATGGCAGGCTGATTTGCTGTGCTCGTCCTCAAGCGCAAGCTCCCATCTCGCCTCCGGCCCCGGCGCCAGCTCCTTCCGCTAAGAAGCATAAAAGAATTCCATATTGATACTAAAGAGAGAGAAACCAAATGTTTTCCTAAAGTTCTAAAGAAAAATAATGTTTTTTGGGTTTTATCTTTGGGGGCCAGCTATGGTGTTGTGTACTTGATGCTATCCTCTAAACCATGGTAAAGTTGGGCATAGAAACTTAGCCTCAAGAACCACACAGTCCGCTAGAGCCGTTGAGGGTCGATTTGGAGGTACCCGATACAAACACTAGCTCTCCCCTGAGAAATGGTTTTATGGTAGATTCTAGCTTAGGTTAGTTTCCATTTTGTGTTGCGATGGTCTCTGTCTTCTCAGTTTAATCAAGAGTTTAGAAAGATCACAACCTACTCGATGCTATCATACCTCCTGTAGAGGATGGTGTAGATTGGATCGTGGACAGAAATCTTAAAGAGCTGGATGCTCACGTAGTATGCAGCAGTGACACTGGAAAGAGCTTACATTTTAGAATCTTGTGGAGTTGAAGAGAAAAGCTAAGAAATGTAAATACCTTCCAAAGCAAACCAGGAGAACTATCCAAATAATTCTGCTCGCGACACTGTCTTCTTTGTACCAAACCCAGCACTGCACGAAACACAGTTAATCCACTGCAATTAAAAGAAGCTAGAATCTCCTCTCTCACGCCAAAAATGAAGACTAGAATGTAGAAATCCAGCAAGGTCTCCTTCATCCACCTGAGAAACCAAAAGCCGAATCAAATGGAACGAATCCGAGATCCAATTCACTCACGCTGTGAGGAGCTCCATCCTGAACGGCGATCCATCCGTGACGCAAGTATAAGCAATCGTCGCGGCCAAAATCGTGCCCAGTGCGATGAATCCCACCCTCGCCAGAACCACGCCTCCCGCCATTGACGAAAAATGCTTGCGGCCCTCAACAGCCCACGTATATGCAATACAAAACGATCCTCGAATATGCCCTACAAGCTTTTGTGACTGATCGACTGCTCCATAGAAGACGAGGCTTCCCGGAGGCCACTCATGTCTGCTTGAGAATGGTCGCCACTGCCAGATGCCTCAATTGCAGGGGGTATGCTTGTTCTTCGTCAAGATTTGAAAAATCTTTCCAAGAGCTTACGTTCCTGGCTCGAGGGGCGGCTCGAGCCTGGCCGTCAATGACCAAGCTCGCGCTCTAGTACTGCTTGAAAGTCAATGCTGGCTTGGCATAGAGATGGCAAGATGGAGACCGCGACTTTGACAGATCAGTCAACAATCGCCACCAAGGTTGATCCAGGTCCTGGCGCCCTGGATTGGAGGCCATGGCGCACTCGATGTACGTCGACGATACCGTGCTCAGTTTGTACGTTTGCTTCGTGAAAAAGAGAAAGAAGTTAACAAGACCGGCGTTGTCCTCGCTCCGAGTCCTGTCCATGTTGGGTAAAACAGCACCTCGGCTTGGTCAGTCCACAGGGACGCACTTACACATCAGCTGCTAGCGACTTGAGAGCACAATATGCATCTTTATGTGCCCACTGTGAAGTAGAGTGCTCGTTATCGCCAGCACCACCTTTACATGGTGGCACCGCAATGGATAATTAGAATCCCCGGGCGATCTCTTCCTTTGGGAATTCTCGACACTTGTTTTGGAATCCTGGAATGCCGTATAGAAGCGTCCCATTGGCAGGCCGGAGGATTGCTGTCTCAGCAACGGATTAAACGTGGGGAAAACCATGTCCAGCCCTGGCGAAACTCTAAACCTAACAGACAAAGTGGGCCTTCCCAAGAATGAGCACGAGCGAGAAGAATAAGTAGTAGCTTGTTCCAAGCATTATAAAAAAGTGTCGAGCACCTTGATAAGGCCAAGGTGGAGCAGCATTTAGAAAAGGAAATGGCGAGCTTCCTCAGCGATCGATCCACCACCTTGAGCAGCAGCGGCGTTGGAGCAAGAGGATGCTGGATCGCCTCCAAGTCAAGGCCTGCCACGAATTTCAGGTACCAGCTCCATAGCTCTGCGTGGAAGGCCACTGCATTATCGCCCACCAAGAGGATCCAGCGCGAAATCCCTGGCAGCTATGGCCTCCCTCTGCTCGGATCCATCTCCGACCGCTTCAACTATTTCTACTTCCAAGGCACCGAGGAGTTCTTCCGGAGCCGAGCTGAGAAGTACCAGAGCACAGTGTTTCGCGTCAACATGCCCCCGGGGCCGCCATTCTTCCCAGATCCCCGGGTGATCGTGCTGCTGGACCAGCAGAGCTTCCCAGCTCTCTTCGATGTCTCCAAGGTGAGCAAGCGCGATGTCTTCACCGGAACTTACAAGCCCAGCGCCGATTTCAATGGTGGCTATCGCATCCTCTCCTATCTCGACGCGGATGAGCCCCGCCACGCCCAGATCAAGGCCTTTTGCTTCGACATGCTCAAATCCAGGGCCAAGAGCATCGTCCCCGGGATGGATTTCGCGGCGTGCCGCTGCTTCGATCGCTGGGAGAAGGAACTGCGAGCCAAGCAAGCCCCTGAGCTCGTTTCCTCGATCGAGGAGATCTGCCTGGCGTTCCTGACGAGAGCCCTCATGGATCACGATGCCACTGGAGCATCCGGTCTGAGCACCGAAACTATCAAGAAATGGCTCGCTCCACAGATTGCTCCAGTCGCCCTTCTCGACGCCATTCCTCCGCCCATCATGGAGCTCCTCCACGTCTTCCCTCTCCCCTTCGCTGTCGTCAAGAAAGACTACGAAGCCATCGTCTCCTACTTCTCGGCCCACAGTACCGCGCTGCTCGACCTGGCCGCGACGCACGGCGTACCGCGCGACGAGGCACTCCATAACCTCATCTTCATGGTCTGCTTCAACACTTTTGGCGGGCTGATCCGCTTGCTGCCGGAGGTAGTCCAGCGCGTCCACGAGAGCGGCGTCGCCAAGGAGCTCAGCAATGAGGTGGCGGCAGCGGTACGCGACGCCGGCGGGCGGCTTACCGCGCGGTCCATTGACGGCATGCCGCTGCTCCACTCGGTGGTGTACGAGTGCCTGCGCTTCCAGCCGCCGGTACCGTTCCAGTATGCCCGCGCGCGCCAGGATATGGTGATCGAGAGCCACAAGGAGGCGTTTCGCGTGAAGAAGGGCGAGATGCTGTGTGGATTCCAGCCATTTGCGACGAGAGATGGAGTGGTGTTTGATCGACCCAACGAGTTCTTGCCGCGGCGATTCATGGGCGACGATGGAGCAAAGCTTCTCAAGTACGTGCTGTGGTCCAATGGCCCCCAGACCGAGAACCCCAGCGTGGATAACAAGCACTGCGCCGGGAAGGACTTCATCGTCTTGGTCACTCGCCTCTTCCTCGCCGAGTTCTTCCTCAGGTATGAATCGTTCCAGCTCGACGGCCAATCCATCAAATCGCTCTCGCGCCGATCGCCATCGACGTGATAAGCACGAAGGACATGCCGACGTGCTTCGTTGGGCGGCTGTGATTCGGGCCCATGGTCGTTGACTTTGTTCTCGACCGTCCAGATTTGGGATCTTCTTTGATATTGTAGAACCTGGATGTTACATTGTAACTTGCTGCTGGCCACAATGCAAATATATTCCAAATGCGAATAGAAACTTTAGCTCAATGTTTCAGTGACATCCTCAAAAGAGTATATTTTTGTTTGATGCGAGTATTGGTGGTGTTTCACTAGCAAAGATAGAAGAAAAAAGAAGAACTCGATGTTGTGCGTGCCACCAACACGGCCAAGTTGACAAAAACTCCACCATCCAGCTACATATGTTTCGAAAAAAAAGTCGCCATTGTCTTGAGAGATCGCTGTACATTTTTTCCCTGATCGTGATTATTGTCGCACACTAAGCGCTCGTCGAGACCGCTTTGCCTTCGAAGCCTAGAAGAGCGCAAGGATCTTCGCGGTGGAGAAGGCGAGCAGTGTAGTTATCAAAACCAAGCCGGATCTGAGCTGCGAGCTTGCACTGGGTAGCCAAGGATACAAGTCTGGATCCGGCAGGACGCACTCGTCTCCGTTGAAGAGCACCCTGTGAGGAAAAGCCCATCCCTTGCTGAAAGTGAAAGCATCGCCCTTTTGTAAGAGGACCTCCGACTGGACGTTTCCCATTTCCCCGGCTTGCATGAGCATGTCGTTGTAGAATTTGATCCCCCAAAACATTGCCGTGTCATCTGTGATTGAAGTTAGAACATCTTTGTGATTCTAGCATAGCTCCATTCACTTACTGATTGATCCATAGGCTTGCAGTGGCCTGTACGTAAAGCTGAATGCCTCGGTCAAGTTGTTGAAATTGGGATGCTGGACAACCAAATTCCACTGCGTGTAGTTCTTGACGTGACGGTTTGTGATTGTGACTTTGGCTCGCCAGTAGTCCTTGTAGTTGATTTTGACGTGCCAGTGGATCTTGATCGGGCACATATCGGACGAGCAGAAGAGCTGTGGATGTAGCGGCTGGTTTTTGGTGATGGAAGAGCTGGAGGTAGCGCCAATGCCCGTGGAGACCACGGGAGGTAAATAGCTGTCATCGCTGTCACAAAGGAAAAAAACACAAGAGATGAGATACAATCGATTGATTGCTAGGACGGACAAAGTGACTTACGGATCAAAGCACATTGGAACTCTAGGCTGAGCTGACTGTGTGACATTCGGCTTGCAATTGCACGCACAGTTTTGGCAAGGAACAATCTTCTCGTTGTAAAAGGACGAGAAGGAAACGCAGCACGTCGGAGCCCTCTGTGCCAGGTACTGGGAGTACGAGCAAGTTATGTTCCAAGTCACTGCGCCACCACCAAAGTTCGTAAGCGAGCAAGCAAAAGAAACGAAAGAAGCAAAGAAAGAGTGACTCACTTAGAGCTTGTGTGTGTCTCCGACCATCCGCGGATGGAAACAAGCTGGCTTTCACCTTCTTAGCCGGACCGCAAGTGTATCCCGGGCCGGGTGTCCGAATCGTAAAGTTCTTTGGAAGCTGGACGGTGGTGTTGGAAGTCCCAGCTTGGCCGACGATAACTTGAAAGGATGCCACAGACATGGTCGGGTCCTGCGCCAGCGATCCCAAAACTCCTCCTCTACAGCAATTGGCGACTTGCATACTGTAAGGCACCCCGGGAAGAAGGTCCACGACGGTGGGATCGCGCTTGCAGCAGTGAGGGATGTTTCCCTTGAATTTGGAGCAGTCGCCCTGCATCGTTGCTTGCGCTCCCTGCATTCCCCAAATCACTTCCTTCTTGGCCCAAGTCCATCCCAGTGTCCATCCGGGCGTCTCGATGTGGCGGTATTGCTGGTAGTTGTACATGGTCACCAGTGCCTAGAGAAGAAGAAATCCCGGGTTACAGGCCGTGAAAGGGAGAAAGAGCTCGAAATTTCGGAAGAAATGTGTGTGGAAGAGAGGGATCCCGAGAACTTACGACATAGCCATCCGCGGACCAGCTCATTACATCCCACTTGATCGTGATGTTGCCGTTTGGATCCAGGGGATCGAAAGACTCTGCGCAAGAACACGGCATGGAGGAGCATTGCTCCATCTCTCACCCAAAGATCCATGGATTTTTTTTCTTACCGGCTGGATGCGGCATCCAGAGGAGCAGCGCCAGGGCTAGAATGGCGATGTGGAGCTCCATTCGCGTCCACATTGCCAGATCTGGGAGGAGTGCCGCCATAGCCGAGCCAGAGGAAGAATGCCTGCCCTGCAAACCCCCAAAATTTTTCCACCAAAGCAGCCTTATGTTTTAAAAACTTAATACCTCTCAAGATTCTATTTAACACAAAGCTTGCGGGTGGAATATTCGACGAGCTACCGGCTACCGGCCGGTTGGTGAGCTGTTGCTGTGACGTGCCAGCGGACGCACGACGAGCGCAGGATATTCCCATGGCTCCTTGGCGAAGCTTCCCTTCGCTAATAAAACACGTTATTATCAGCAAGATTATACTAGAGAGATTGGACAAAAATGTCTAGCCATCAATCAATTTCACTGCACCGACATTATAGTTTTACATAAACTGCGATTTCTATGCTAAAGCTTGAGCTTGAATTTCTTTGGAGGATACGTATAGGCCTCGTAGTTGATGCTTTGGCCCAGGATGCTCAGCCTTGTAAAAGCGCCGATCAAATCCACCTGAGCAATAGATTGTTAAGTTATATCTTCCGGAAAAACTTTGTCGAGATGATCTTACCTCGTAGTCTGTTTGCGATACAGTCTCTCTACTGTCTTGATACTTCTTCACCCATCGTGCTAATTCACTGTCTTGTGCAAGTTTCGCGTCCATGGCCGCTTGATCTGTGCCGAGAAACGCTGACAATACTGCAACCTGATAAGCAGAGCTAGCACGCTATCAAAAACTTCGAATGAAAAGATTTCTACGTGAAAGCTACCTGTCTTGGTCCCAAGCCGACTTTGGAGAATCTGTTCGTGATCTCTGCTATTGGAGCTTCTTCCCACAAAAGAACTCGGCCTTCGGGATCCGGTTCTGGTTTATCCGAGCGCCCGAATTGCTTGTCGAAAAATCCCCACTAAAAGTTTACAAAGAACAATGTTATCAGCGTCGGGGACAGCATTTTCATTATTTCATACCTGACCATTTGATCCATAGGCATTGTAGAGAAAATTGCCCTTCTCTTCGTTACCACCACACTTTTTGATAGCGGCATCCAAGAACGTTCTCTTTGCCGCAGCTTGTCCTGTGGAGAAGAAACATGTTCACGGACTTGAACGAAGAAAAAAAAAAGATTTTTCTTGCCTCCGATTTGAATAAGATCGGCCCATGAGATTGGTCCTCCTTTGGATTCTTCATCGATCTCTTTCTTGAGCCCCTCGAGAAACGTTACCGCCGAGTCGAGCTTCACGTTTTCAGGTCTTTTCAACTCCTCGCTACAGAATTTAAAGCCTCAGTATGAATGGAACGAAAGAAATCCTGTAAACTTGATCACCTCAGACGTATGGAACCATTCGGACCTCCTGTTTTGGTTTCCTGTTGACGAGCCAGCCAGCGTGAGCTACCCACGAAGAAAAAGAAAGAGAAAACCATTGTCTCGATCATACCTTATCATAAGTTATCGCGTCATTCAACGCAAGCCGCAGAAGAAAAGGAACAAGTTCCGGATTTTCCTGTAAGCACAAACTGACATTCCAAGTTGCACGAAACTGATTATAACCAGAAAGAACACCTTGATCGCCTTCGCTAGCTTCACTTTGATTTTTCCTGTACACTCACAAAGGGGTAGGATTCAGGAAAATTTTGTCTCACTCACCGAGAAAATCGGCACGCTGTGATCTTTGAATTAGATCCGCTGCCATGGCATTGTCTGTCGATGCAATCCCATTCCAGGAGCCAAACTATCAGCAAAAGTAAAAGTGCTGCTAAAAAATCAGGCAAAGAAACTCAATGGCCGGCCGGAAGTTCTTACTGCCAGACTTGTAGATGACAATCCCACAAGAGCCTCTCTCCGGCTCACATGAATGTGAAACTTATCACTAAGCTGGCATGTAGACGAGACCACCTGCGAAGAAAAGCCATCTACATTGTCAGCTATGGTCGAACGAACGGAGTAAACCCAACACTACCTGACGAGAACTCGAGCACCTGGTCCTGTGCGAGAGAGAGGAGACGCCTCTCAGAGTTGAATCCATAGAAATCGCCGAGGAAACAAACGTGGAGCCCCGTGACGCCATATATCTCTTTCTCTGTAGGTAACTCGCCACAAACTCCGTCAGTCAAAAGCATATCCAAGAGATGAAAGAGAAGTGCTACTTATCGAGAACTGTCTGGCGAGCCAAAGCTCGAGCTTCTCCATTTTTTTTGCCGAAAAAAACCTGAGACTACTCACTACTGCCAGTCCCAAGCGCAGGGAGTGTCATGGAGGTGCATCTCTTTGCACCAGTGCTCCGTGATCTTGTAGGGAGCCTCGGATCTAACTCTGGTTTCCCAGGAGCGCCACAACATGTCACACTTCTTCGCCAGTCCAAACCGAACGGGGTGAAGCTTGACACGTCCCGGAAAAGCTTGCAGGAGCTCCCCAAACGCGGCAGGGAGTTGCGGCCGAAAAACAGCGGGCTCGCCCTCGAAAACGAAGCCTTCCAGCTCGAGCATCGTCACGCAATCGTTGGTTCTCATGAGCTTCCACAGAAAATCTATCTCGTCGCTCTCCCAGGTGACACCACTGCTAGTGTAAATCGACTCGATGTGGACAACTAATGGCGTGTGCCTCCACCTCCAATACTCCAGGCCCAGTACCTACAAGAACACGATGATAAGTTGGCAACCAATCAAGAAAGGTAGAAAGGTCACCTTGATTGTTCTATGAGCGACTCGTAAAACTTCGAGGCCCTGGAACCTCTCCAAAAAGACTGCGAGGTTGATGCAGCGAGGATGGAACTCGTTAGCGCTCGTGACGAGCAGGCTCAGGCTCAGTTCCTTGATGCCTTCCACTCTCGATGGGAATGGCGCAAGACGCTGCATAACATTCTCGGGGCTGCGGAAGGACGGAGAGATGGTGAGCGACTTGAGCTTGCGCAACGAGTGGCACAGCCCCCGGTGGCGCACACCTCCATCCAAGAGCACCCACTCGACGTTGCATGTAGCGCTCTGGAGTTCCACGCACGGCACGGCGCTGACCAAGAGCCACCGGAGCTTGGGCATGTCGATGGCGAGAGAAAAGATGGCAGCAGCGCTGCCACCGCAAGTGGAGATCTCCAGGCAGTCGAGGCTGTGGCTCTTGAGAAGGTATGTCCGAGGCCGCGTCGCGACGACCGTTCTCACGCGCAAGAACACGAGTGAGGGGCAGTGCTCGAGGAGCCGACTCACCCCAGAAGCACGACATCTTGCAACAGTGCAATAGAGGAGATTGGGTAGCAGTGGCGGAGCCAAGGTTGGAAGCTTGGTGCTAATGCTGGCGTGGATGTGAAGGCATTGCAGCTGCTGGCATGTGGAGATGCTGGACCAGAAGCCCTCAAACGTTTGCTTGGGAATGCCATGGATGGTGAGTGAGTGGAGAGTTCTCCCGATCACTTGTAGCCAGCGAGTGGGGCTGATATTATCTGCGTCACACAGGAGTCGCTTGATTTCCAAGAAGCGGAGGTTGCTGCCATGATCTGGATGGAACCAGCGAATGAACCCTTCCTCGGTAGCAAAATTTAATGAATTTAAGCAGAAGTGAGTGACACGCCTTGCCAAATCCTTCCACCTCTTGTTTACCAGAGCACAGTAATGCAAGTGACGCGAGGAAAGTAACCACGACATGATCTGCAATAGCAACTCATCCGGGAGATCGTCCAAACACCTCCGACTTTGTGCCATAGATGTCTCTGCCCTAACCCTAACGCAGGGTGGAAAAAGTTAGTAAAATGGTAAAGGTAAAACAAAAAGATAAATCTTTTATCTTTATCAACTTCACCTTGTTTCACCTTTTACCATTTTACGGTGGGATCGACATGAGAATTACGACGTTGAAGCTTAAATGCGTCCATCAGGGTCGATCAAAATATAATATAGAACTCGAAACATTAAACAGGAAATATCAACCGTTAGATTAAATATACGTAAACTAAACATTCTCCGTACAGTACATACTTAAGAATATTCGATTGAACCTCTATCAATACAAGCACAAACGAAGCCTGCCTTCCACAACACCGTTGTGAAAATGGAGCCTGTAGAGCTCCCAAAGTTCTTTTCTGTATAGAACGCATTGAGCATACATAAATGTAAGAGCACGCACACACACACACACACAAACCTGACTTGAGGAACTGTGAAGAGCGTCAATCCTTTGGCATCCTTGTGCATGTCAAAGACGAGCAAGGAGAGCCGTGAAAGCCCCAGAGCGCCAATGTCGATCAGCTTCTTGAGCCTGAGAACAAAGGAAAGGAATTCTAATCACAAGAAAGAGCTTGTTTGCACAAAAAAAAGGAAGAGACTGACCGGCTCGGTGTCCCTGCGGCAATATTGACTCGTTGTTTCAGCGCTGAGACTTGCTCTTCCACCTTCAAGTGCTTCGCGAAAAGCTTCCCAGGCTTGCATTCTTTTGTCAAACTGGCCAAGTTCCTGGAAGGATTCGAGCAAAACCAAGTTACATAAGAAAGAAACAACGCAAGACATACATACTTGAGAAGACTGACACAGCGTACTGCGGAACTGCTCACAATGAGAACAATCGGGCTTCCTGGCTCCAAATCTCCAAGAGCTCCACTGCACAGAGAGCTCTCCCACGAAGATCCAACAATGCCTTTGATAACCGAGGCCAGGTTCTCAATGCAGTGATCCTGATTGCTGGGGATCTCAACCATCGCATCGTCTACAAGAAAAGCTAATCAGAAGCTAATAAGAAGGAAAAGGAAAGAATGGCTTGGTTGGCCTACCTGGGAGAGCCCCCATCTCCAGAGAAGACAAGACGCTACTGTGAACTGCTCGAAATGTGGAGAAGAACCAGGACGATTGATCCCGAGGTGATTTGAACTGGATATCGTTTCTATCTACCGGCGCCGCTGCTGCTTTTGATGGAGCATTGGATTTTTTCGTGATCTTCGACTTGGTAGCGACGCCGATCGGCCGGTGCTCTCGCCTCTTCTTCGTCTTCTTCATCCCTGGAATATTTTTGCCCTAGAAAACAGACGTTACCCTTGTTGACGTGGCAACATCATAGCGGGTGTATAGAGCTTAAATCTACGACTCACTATCTGCCACGTGTCCTAGAAATAGGGCTCTTGTTGGGATTTAGGGTTCTCTGGTCAAGGGGATTTATTGGGCGATGGAATCACGGCAAGTGAGCGTCTCGTCACTGCAATTTGCTTGCAGTGATCGCGCCGATGAGAATGTCGCTACTGCTGAGAGGTAATTGAATACGTGCGTCTCGCTTGAATCGCATTTTCTATGATGGTAATATCAGGCTCGTTAGGGAAGCGCATTCGCGAGGAGCAAATATCATCCTTATCCAGGTACTGTGAAGCGTTTAATGCGTTGCGAGGATTTATGCTGTGAATTTTTTTTGGATCAGGAGCTCTTCGAGGGATACTACTTTTGCCAGGCGCAAAGAGAGGACTTCCTTTTGCGTTCCAAGCCGCGAGAAGGCCATCCAACAATCCAAAGGTTTTTTTTCCTTGTGCTAGGATTTTTGGAGAAGGAAGTTTCGGTTTTCCAGGATGAAGGAGCTGGCGAAAGAACTCGGAGTTGTGATTCCTGTTAGCTTCTTCGAGGAGGCAAACAATGCACACTATAACTCTATTGTTATCATAGATGCCGATGGAACGGACCTTGGGCTCTACCGAAAATCTCACATTCCCGACGGCCCAGGTATGCATGAATCAATTTGTTTCACAAAATCGTTTCATCTTTCGCCTTGTGCAGGATATCAAGAAAAGTTTTATTTCAACCCCGGAGACACAGGCTTCAAGGTCTGTTTCTCTCCTCCACTTCTCGTAACTCCGTTTTAAAAACTTTGGAAAGAGAACAGGTTTTCGATACCAAGTTTGCTAGAATTGGTGTGGGTAAGTGACTGACTGACATTTGGGATTTGTCTGACGCTAGTTTCTGGGTGTGAGAAGCTATTTGTTGGGATCAATGGTTTCCAGAAGCAGCGAGAGCCATGGCTTTGATGGGAGCCGAGGTGCTGTTTTACCCAACAGCCATCGGTTCCGAGCCGCAAGACTCGGGCCTAGATTCACGAGAACACTGGCAGCGAGTGATGCAAGGACACGCTGGAGCCAATGTGGTACTACACTACGCTGCTCTCTCACTTTTCTTTCATTCGATTTGCTGTTTTTCACGAAGCAAACTCTTTGCAGATACCGCTTGTTGCCTCGAACCGAATCGGAGTGGAAGTTGTAGAAACCGAGCACGGAGCCAGCAAGATAACATTCTACGGGCATTCCTTCATTGCGGGTAAGAGATTCTTCCTTCGTGTTTTTTCCCTTGCCCACGGCTGGAACTTATTGCAGGACCAACCGGAGAGATTGTGGCAGAGGCCGATGACAAAAACGAAGCGGTTCTCGTGGCGAAGTTCGATCTAAATCAGATCAAGCTCAAGCGCCAGAGCTGGGGAGTTTTCAGAGACAGGAGGCCGGATTTGTACAAGGTGCTTTTAACGCTGGATGGTAAAGTTTAGAACGCATGCTCTCGAAATATTCATGGAACCGATGTTTTAATTCATTAGAATTAGAGAATCCTATGAATAAATGAATTCCCAACATTGTACTATTAATAAATCATCCCACATACTAATATAGTAGAAATAAAAAAAGAAAGAATACCACCAAGAGGAGATTCAAGCGTGACCCCTTTCACAAGTAGGTGAAGCTTTTCATGGTTCACCTGGAAAGCTAAGTGGTCATTTTTAAGGTCCAAAAGTTTTACTGCTACAAACTTCTTCTAAACCTGTGGTGGTGTCAAACTATAGTTCCAGCTTGATTGTCTTCAAATATCCTAAAACAGATTGAATGAAGATAACAGTCCAAGATCAGTTCTCTAGTTGGTGAATAGGACCCATCTTTCTTTGCTCCAGGAGAATTGGGAGTATCTGTCAATGCCTTGTTCATCCACAAATTTTATAAACATCACACTCTTTTCTCTTCCCTGAAGAACATATGTCCTCAGTCAGTGGAGCTTGATAAGACGGAAACAATTAATCAAGAAGGTGATTTGGTGCTTAGTGCAATAGTTAGCATAAATGGGTGTTACAATTTAGATAAATTTGAGAGCAAGTTTACAATAATTATTTCTTAGAATAGTCCCCCATCCAGAATTCCAGTGGATGTATAGCGTGCCACATCTCATACACATGAGGTGGTGATAAGATGCCTTTAGATGATCACATTTGCAAAAGGCTGTGCAGCACAAACAAAAGAAATCATGGTATATATCTAGCATACAAGTAGTGGAAGCTCTATCTATCCCAAGAACTTTTATTTCTAGATTTTTCATGAAGAACTTTTGCTAGGAAGAAGTCCCAAATATTAATGGGACTTAGTAGATGGGCCTTCAAGCCAGTGGTGTACTTAGTGAATTAACTTTAATATGGTTATGGTAAATTATTATGGTTAGAATCACAGGATTTGAGGATAAAAAAGCTCTATGATTATAAATTAAAATATTTAATAAAAAAGAATGTTCGTAGAATATTCTTAAACACTATAATAGCTTTGCTTAATTGGCAAACAAAAAATGGCAATTTGAAGATGCTAACAAAAGTTACATTGACAAATGAGGTTTTGTGCAATAGATTATTATAGTTGCCAAACAAAGTTTTAGGAACAAGATTGATCATTTTATCATTAGGTTTAAGAATATGCTAGATAATAAAAAATTTAAATAATGATTGCTAAAATGATATATTAGAAATTAAAATAATATAGAATATAATTATATAAAACATTATTATTTTTACAATTTTAGTTAAATTAAAATAATAATTTATTAAATTTTTTTACTATAGTATAGCTCCATTTATTAAGGATACTGCCACAAAACATTGATGCATTATATTTTTAAAAACCATTAAAATAAAAGAAAAAAATTATTGAATGTCTATAGTAGATAAAAATTAATATAAAATTATCCCAAATTTATAGAATTGCTACAAGTGGAGCACTAAAAAGTATATATTTTTAATAATTTACTTAAATAATACGTTATGATTTATAATTAGGTATTAATGTTTTTTGTTCTTAATTAAAATTTTAGCTAAGATATGCTGGCTTTTAAAAACTCTTTAGTTTTCATATTTATATTTTTAAGTATTTATTCATGCTTTAGTATAAAAGTATTTATTTTTAATAGAGTAGGTGATGAACTTGAGCTTCATTGTAAATCAAAAGATGATGATTTAGGAATACAATTTATTAAAGATGGATCAAACTTCATGTTTGAATTTAACACAAGATGGCTTGGATATACTTTATTTTGGTGTGATATAAAATTTAAAGGGGAAATACATGGAAAATTTAATGCTTATGAGCAAGGATCACATGAAGATTATGAAAAATCTGAAAAAATAGAGTGGTATATATTTGGATATGCAATTTTTGAAACTCATACAATTTATTATAAAGATCAATGGTCTTTGCCAATAAGAAGGTATAATGTTATCTAAATATGAAAAGACAAAAAATAAAGTGATTTAATTTTTCTTTCAATTCTTCAAAACTATTTTGTACGAGATATGAAAATTTATAGAATTATTAAGAAACATAAAGTTTAATTTTCTTATCAAAATTTTATAAATAAAAATCTATTTTAACTTATAATACTTATAAATAATATTCTCTTAATCAATTAGGACCAACCTTTGAATATTTATTATGATTAAACTTTAAAATATTTTAATTTTTCAAATAGATTATACCACAACTTTATGTTTAAGAAGAACATTATTATTTACAATTCTCTATATCTACTATTAAATAATTTTTAATTTTACAAAAAAAGGTAATAAATATTTTAAGACTCTTCTCTAAGTATCAGTTAAAATTTATGATTATAAGCTAATATTTTTTATTAATAGGTAATATAATAATCTACTCTATAAATCTCTATTAAATAAGAGAAAATTCTAAAATAGAAATTAGTCGATAATATTTTCTATATGTAAATTGTTCAAAATTAATAACTTTTGAAAATTATTCAGTTGTGTATAAAAAATTAATCTTAATTTTGTGAGGTCCAAGTGTACAACTACGATACCATTTACTAATATTAGTGTAATAGAAATTTTGGTAGCTATCGGATTGATTTCCATTCTATCTACTCGCTATTATACTAGGGTTTTTGGGCTAATTGATATGCATATTTTCTATATTCCCTTTCTATATTTCATGCACTCACATCGGTAAAGATGAGGGGCACTTTTAATTGTCCCTAAGAAGTGTTTGGATTTTGGATTTTGGTTTAGATTTATCTTTTTCCATTTCCTTTGTTTTGTTTGTTCTTTTTGGGATTTTGGTTTAAATTTAACTTTTGTAGTGTTTAAATCTCCTTTTTCTCCTAGCTTTTTTTTATTTATCTTCTTTTGTTCTTTCCTTTTCGTTCATCTTTATGGCAGGTCAACAATCTCCTCCTCCTTTGACTCTAGAATAGTAGTTGGTACAATTGCTTGATGCTATGCGATTGCAATTGAACAATGAAACTCAGTTGATGGTGGCATTTACGGCATGTGGTATAGCTCCTCCTGCTCTTGGTGCTAATCCTCGCGTTCGACCAGAGTTCTTCTATAGGAATCTTATGGATGGTTTAATCACTTCACGATGATTGCTATATATCATTCTTGGGATGATACTCAACGTTTGTGTGAGTTTCCCATGTGTCTCCAAGGAATGACATTGCAATGGTGTAGCACATATGGTTTTTACCCTTTACTCTATGGTGATTTACCATAAGAAAACACCATGAAGCGGAACCTAAACCCTTCATGTGCCACATGTTATATACCACATGTCACATGCCATGTGTCCATAGGACAATGGTGTGGAACTCGAGGTTCAAGGCCTTGGGCCACTAAACAAAGGAACGGTTCCAAACTCCCAAACATGGAGCCAAGGAGTGGCGGAACCAGACTATGGAGCAACTCTTGAGCATATAGCCCAAGGAGCAAAAAGACAGGAGCCCGAAGCAACTT